CTTTGCATTGAAGCCGATGTCCGCTGATAAAGCGGCCTTCTGAACGATGCCTCACTTGAATTTAATTCTGTCTCGCTAATGATCGAATTATGAAAAATCGGAACTGAATACGGCCTGGTATAGTGCACAGGGAGACCTGAACACAACTGAGAGGGCAGTGTTTAAAATGTGACGTGAAGGGGTGGACTTTGTTTTAGCTGTCTCAGGATTGGTCCAGTGACTTCTTCGGCTAACTGTGTAAATGCCTAATTATGGCTTTTCATTAAATACCATCCACTGCGCGTTTGTTTGTTTAGTTAGTAAGTTAACAGGCGAACCCGATGGCACTCTGACTTGTCTGTGAAGAAAAGTGTTACGGGTGAGGATTTGGTGACCTGGGTATTAATGTCTGTTGCACTGGCAGGTTGGTTTGTGGATCTGAGTGATTTCCGGCATTATGACTCGAAGATTCAACACTGTTAATACACATTCTGCTTTTCACTGGAGACGAAACATTTCCACGCTCTGTGAACTTCACAAACGCTTTCTTCCCCCGTAAGATTTATCTTAAAAGGCCTGTTATCCTCCCTATACGTTGCCATTATGCAATTTTTGCCAGCCCCTGTTGCTTGCTTTCTCTTAGGTTCAGATGTTCTCCTGAGCACCCTGTTCTCACACACCCCAACCCTTGTTTGTTATTCCCCAAATGGCACCCCATTACACATCCTCTTTAAATATGTATGCATCACAATTTGACAACTTTTTATAGCAAGTTGCTCGTTGCGGTCAGGCCTGCAGGAGTGCTGCCCAGAGAAGAAAAAAGAAGAGGATCTTGGAGCGACCTCTCCCGCAGTGCTGGGGGCGTGGACCCACCGACACGGCGTATCGATCCAGACTAAAATCTCTCCCTCTGCCACACGGGCTTAAAGGGGAGCTCCAAGCAAGGCGTTACGTAACCACATACCCACATCTTTAATCTTAAAATGTTGGCCCCTCTGTCACATAATTAAGGTCAAAGAGCGAAAGAAGGCCTACGGGCTTGTTGTATTTGCCCTATATTATGCAAAGGAATCGATTGTACTTTAAAGGAATGTGACGAGCGTTTCTGGTGCCGCTTGTGTACGGAGCAGATGGCAGGTTGTCGACAGACGCGCGGATGTCTCGGACAGCTTTAGGCTCATTCGACGTTTCACTTTTTCATTAGTCATCGTGACCAATCCGAAAATATTTGTGGAGGTTTCCATTGCTCCTCCTTATCATAGATAGAACTCATCTCAACCAAAATTACTCAAGCTTGATTTCAAGATGCGTGTTGTAAAAACGCGGTATCGTACGTTAAACAGCACCGCCATAGTTTGCCGTGGCCATCATGTTGGAAAATGTTGCTGTGGGAATGCGCTTGGCCTTTTTACACACGTGCATGAAAATGGGCCCTTTTGATCGGACGTTTCATTTACCGATGTTTTCGGTTTCTCAGATTTTGCAATGTCGTTGCGTAGTGAGCGTTGAATGGCAGACGGCGTGGAAGGAAGCGGCCGTAGCTTAATTTGTGGTACTTTCCCAGATTTTGTATGCAGATACTGAGAAAAAACATGAAAATCTGAGTAAGGATAGTTGGTATCCGGGCTCAGATTTGAACACGAAACATCACGAATACTAATCTAAAGTTGTAAAGACTGGCATTTGAGTGATTTTTCTGTCGCAGACCAAAGCAAAAGTGTTGATAGGCTGCCGTTAACGGCATTTGTGCCCCAATAGACACCAGGAACACGTTCCAGTCATGTTTTCTGTCCATATTGTTAGTGGTTCTCCTTAGTCCTCTCACGCAAACGGAACCTACAGTTAACAGTTCACGATCGACTCCTGTAAGTCAATCCTTGCGGGCTATTAGACGCATAACGCATGCAGTTGTTAAGTTGTCGTTTAACTATGTACTGACTAACCTGCACACGCCTTCTAGGTTACTGTGGCTCCACCTTCCAGTTGACGTTACTCCAGCTAGGCACGTGACCATGTTGATTTACTGCAGCGCTGTTAGTCTCATCACCGTCTTATCTCTTGGAACTGAATACCAACAGTGGCTCGTGCTTTCGCAGAGTTATGTGACGGGTGGAATTAGAAGTCTCGTCAAACGACAGATCGCTGTCTTCGTTTCCTTACCTCCTTGTAGTCCGCAGTTCCGCAGCGCCTCGTCGACGTGGAAGGCATAATAAAGCTGCCAGATTAATAACTCTCGCCATTATTGCTCCTTAACATAATAGGCTGCGTAAACACTTATCGTTGTACAATTCCTTCAGCGGCCCCTGGAAGGAAAGAGAGAGAGTTACGAAGTGTAAGCAGGGTTGCCAGATTAAACTCACACCTTATGGACGTCGTTACTGTCAGCAGCCCTGCACGCAGTGCACTGTTACTTATCTCTACTTCTGGAGTGTCCAGCTCGACAATACGCGGCTGTCAGCACGGCTGAAGGGGGGAGGGGGAGGAAGAGTGGAATTTGCGTTCAAAGTTCGCATTTTTCACACAGCACCAATATTTTTATTTTAAGTTTGTACCATGCACGATCGTAACGCAGTAACCGATGCTCTGACCTTACAGCAGGTCATCACACACGACAAACTTATAGTTGACTTTGCGCCACGATTCAAAGACAAAAGAAAGAATGCCCTGCGCCACAAGTGTTGTTGGTCAGCCAGTAGGCTGTTCTTTCGTTAATCAGTTTGTCGGTCAGTGCTTCGTATCTGTAACTGTCCAGGCATAGTTGTGGGACAGGGTCCAAGCAGTTTTGCCATTATTCGTGACTCTACAGGCTCGAGGACTTATCAGCAATCAATAAGACGAAGTCTTGAACTCGGTGAATTTAATTGCGGCACTCCGTCAGAACAGATCAAAGATTCCTACCTAATAATATGTGACTTCTTTTTAGGGGTGTAAATTCACGTTAGTAAATGGATATAATATAATATTTTGTATTTGATATCGATATGAATTTATCATACAGATATCGGAGTGTGTTCGATGCCAATTTAGCATATTCATATATCGAGTAAATTGTTCGTATCATAAAATTACTGCACTTGATTCGTAGAAGGAGCGGAGAAACTAAAACTCGCCCGTTGCAGAAAGAAAGATGCACTTGCTTATTGAGAGGAACGAAATGGAGCAGCCGTGCCATTATGTGCTAATGCAAACGAAAAGAGTGTGCAGTGATCATAAGTTATTTATATTACGTCAACAATTGAAAAAGATCAAATTAGATGTTAGAATTAGACGTGTCACTCCACGACAATCTGTAACACGAAAAAATAAATCGGTTTGCAGTATTTAAGAGAGAATTTAAGAATGTATTTGGATAATTTAAGAACCTGGAAGCGATAAAATGATTGGATATCGTAACGAATTCCGTATCAGTTGACTTCCCAGCTTCATCCGTCGCATTCTGTGCCGCTTTCCTTATTCCTAGGAACTGAAGTTTCAGGAAACTGAAGCACAGTTTTTCCTGTTAGGCGGAGTTCGATCTGTGGGTGTTTGTTTACTGGTAAGCTTGTCTTCTTAGAAACGGGGAATACCTCCAGCGGTCGTCACATAAAGGAGTTGAACCTTAAAGTGTGATAGATGATTTAATGACAATGCACAAACTGCAAATGCTGTGCAGTGTCGAACTGCCTGCTGTTGAGTTACTGGCATATGATTCCTGTAAACCGATTATTCTGACAGGTTTCTGTCTTTTTTTGGGGTGCCTTCTCTACGAGAAATTTCAGAAATGATCTCATTAGCGTCACAGTATCTGTTTGTCCTTGCCAGAATGTCGATGAATGGAGTTCTGTGAAATTTGATATGGGGGACGTTTAGTAAAACGTGTTGACACATTCCAGTTGTTGCTGATCTTTGTAATGGAGGCGCATTGTATTTTCTTTGCAGTAGGATCTCAATCTTTATAGGGTTAATATATTAATGTGATGGACCTGTCAGTAAACTGAAAATATGTCTGTAGTCACAGAAATGTTTGTTTATTAATCTCAGATATAACAGACTTCGAAGGCTTTTTAACCCTTTCAAGCCCGAAGGTCATCCAAGTAATATGTAAGAATTCAGTCTCTACAACAGAGAAAACATAACGCTCCTCCCCATGGCAACGATAAACTAGTTAACGCTGTTTACGGAATTAACGAAAATAGGAAATCAAAACTGAAATAAAATGTACATCCATATTTCAGCCTCGGTTAATACCTCATTTTCATTACCGATTTTGCGTTGTATGGTAAAGGTTGAACATACAACGAATCATCAGTAAGAATTTCTGATTATTATTGTTATTGAAAATTATGTGCCCCTGAGTTTTGGAAGGTATTTGCCAATATAAGGACCAAATCAGAAATGTTCTCACTAGCTTGAAGAGCGATAATTTTCAGGAACATCTTTTACTGATAATTGTTTTGTTTTTTTTACTTCCTATGTAAAATAAATGCAGTTATCTTGCTTTGATAATGCCCTCTCATTCACACAAACTAAACAAGGGGTGCTTTTTATTGCTGGTGTGGGTAGGAGCACCCTCCCTTGCTTGTGTATGTTTATTTACTGTTACACTTTATTTTCACAGAGACACTTCTGCAGATGGACCGCCAACAGCTGCAGAAGTTCATCCAGTATCTCATATCCGAACACCACACAGAAGTATTGCCAACCGCTCAGAAACTGGCAGATGAGATTCTTCAGCAGCGATCTGAAATTAATCAAATACCAGGTATTTGCAGGACCTTGTCTCTTAATTTCTTAATTAACTTGACATGACATTTGGATCTATGAAATAGTGCAACTGATCAAAATGAGAAGGTAGGATCGTATTTACAGGGGAAGGTTATGGGTTTTATCTTTCAACTTTACTCTGATATGTGTTGTGCATTACGGTATTTCCCTGATTTTAAGACACTTCTTTTCACATTTCAAAATTTTTGCATTTGAGGCATGTCTTAAAACATAATGATGTCTAAAAAACTGTGAGTGGGACTGAAGTGCAAGGAAAATCTTAATGTCCATAGAAATAGTCACGGGACAGCAAACACAAACATAGCAACAAAGAAGATACTGAAAGTATTAATATGAAGTTTTATATTTGAATATTGACAGTTCCTGAGTTCATTTTCTTCCCTTGTAAACCTGTTACTGAAGCAAGGGTGCATCTTACACTCAATGACATCTTTAAAATCGAGGAAATAAATAAATGTTCCTTTTTAACAGTTTTATTTAAAAGTAGCTGTGGCGGAGGGGTCAGATATATTTTGCTTCTAAAGGGTTTTGACGACGGTAGTTTAGATAAAAGTCTACCCAGTAACTTAGGACAAGTGTTGCAGACAGTTACCGGTAGACTCTTATCTCTCAAGAGGGACACCAGTGACAATTTATTTCCTTCTTATAGGATGCCGGTAGGTTCATATCCTCCCATACAGAGGACGACAGTAGTGGATTCTCCGGTGTTTTTATGATGTTTTTTTTTGGTTTTAATGTCCTTTGATGACTTGGATGCCTACATTTTTAGCAGGATTTTATGTCAATTTTTATGTGGTTTCAGAACTGGTCGCTTACAGAGCTGTATGAGCGGTCTTATAATTTTTATTTTATTATTTAAGTATTATAATCCGTACTTGGGTGGATAAGTTGAAATAATTGCACGATTTATATTGTCCAGTGACAGAGCCTAGCTCTTTCTAAGGGGCCCCACAGAATAGGTACCTCTCATCTGGAGACAGATCCAGCCTATGAAACATTTTAAAAACAGGCGATGAAAAAAGTACTGACAACAAATAATTTTAAGATATATCTTGGCCACAAAGTTTAAAGCCTCAGTTATATTATTTTGACCTAGTTTTAATCTAATATTGGCTAGAAGGACAATTCAATTCAAAAATCTCTAATGATATTATATTATAATTATCAATGTTGAAAATCTGGGTTACTTGTAATGGTTTGCCAGGCGCTCCTGATCCAACAGCAGGAGCAAGTGCGGACGATGATCACAGCTGGCACCTGGATGAGGAGCAAGTGTGTGAGCAGGTCAAGTCTTACCTGTCCCAAGGTAGTTATTACAATGCCAACAAGCAGCTCAACTCCTTGTTCGCAAAGGTTAGTGTCTGTCTCTGAGTCTTCTTTTTGTATTATTGCTGTTATTGTCAAACAGCAATGCACACACTAATCATACAGGTTTGAATGCCAGACTATGGACCCAAGCTTTGCTTTATCACTGCAGTCAGCCACTAGAATAGATCTCTTCTATGTAGTTACCTCCAACACTTTGAATACATATTCTTCCCAGGGTCATAGATGGTGTTTCTAGAACCACATGAAGCAATGAAGCAACCGAGCTGTAAAGTATTCTTAACTTTCCCAGGTCCACTGTTAGACGCAGACTGAAATTGTTGGGATCACATTGGATCCATTATAATAATTGTACATACTTTATGGCCTTGGTGTATTTGCCCATTTGGTTGGCATGGGCTCCTTTAACACAAATTAAATAATACCAAAATAGTTAATTTACTGGTCAATAGCTGTAGAATACATTTGTGGAAAATTTGAGGAACATGACTTTAAGTAATTTAACTTGCATATGTATTTTGGATAAGCATATCAAATATTATTTTGGTCAAGTTTTATTTCTATGCAGTGTCATGCCTTGTGCAGAGCTGTTGAAAGAAGTGTCGGCCCTTTAGTATGAGCTGATGGACAGTTTTTTTGTGGCAGGTGAGAGAGATGTTGCGGGCACGGGATTCCAATGGAGCGAGGATGTTGACGTTAATCACTGAACAGTTCCTGTCAGACCCAAGACTGATCCTGTGGAAGACACAGGGTACCCCCATGACAGACAAGTGCAGGCAACTCTGGGATCAGCTTGGTCAGTTTGTTTCCTCTGAATATGGCTCTGTAAGGTTAAGTTTTTGTATGAGAACAGTCATCTGTTGATTATTGGTCACTTCGCTACTGAGGATGCCACAGAGAATGAATGCACGTTTCAAGTCCGTGAGGCCAGCAATTATGAAGTGGTGAAAGTGTCCAGAGTCATTGTGGTATGTCTAAGACTGCCCTTAGGGCGGATTTAAATATTCCCATTAAATTTCAAGTGTTTTACAAACCTGCTGCCATTACATAAATGAAACTTGAAGGTTTTGGTCTTACATCCTTCCTTACACATTGAATACTGATTCTGTCACTGAACAGTGTTTAAAAGACAATTGTTCACCTCTGTGCTTCATTCTCAAAAGTGAAGGATGAATATGAGTACAGTCAACTTCTGTTAATTTCAGTTTGAGAATTTAAAGGTGGAATTTGCAAGTTTAGTGATGTACGTTCCCTCACTATGAAGCCTGTGTTTATTGTGGAGGTGGATGATATGTAAAGTCTCCATTCTGCATTGTCTGATGCAAATATGTGACTCAAGTGAAACTAACAAACTCCAAGTAGTATAGTCATTCTTGAGATGCTGATGGTCACATAGATACTGTTTAAGGGAGCCTGAAGAATGTTCATTCTCACATTCATCAGAGTCCACCATTGAATCCTATTTTGAGAATTCTCTCCATGCCCTATTTGTTTGAGATCAGTGTTAATATTACACTAAGAGATCTCTAAAATGATTTATTCCTTTTGGGGTTAACTACTCTAAAATAAAGAAGATTGGAACAGATTGACATGTATATATAGGAAGGGGTAGGACACTTACCGTAACATGCATGTGAAGGCGAAACCAAGCAAAGTTTGCCGCTTGTTTCTTATTATTCATATAGTGATAGATGCATGAAATTTGTTGAGGTTGCCCCGATAAGAGAGCATTATAAAAATGTTATTTCAAACCTACTGTCACTGCAGGTGCATTGTGGGTGTGCATTGTCTTGAATCCGCACTGCAGTGGCCAGGATAAGCAGCACTGGAAAGCCTTGCTGGAGAAATGGACACTCATTGACGTGTGCCCACAGGAAGACCCTGACTTCCGGCCACAGCCACTGCCTCGACAGGATGGAGTGAGTCATTATGTTATCAGTACAGCATTGGAAGAGTTTTGTTTGTCTAGTCCTTAATAAAAAGATGAAACTTTCAAGCTTTTATGATTGAATTTTGTGAAGTATTGTCACCTTACTGCTTTCAGTGGAAAGTGAAGAAAAATATGCATGGATAAATCTAAAAAACTGTACTTCGTCCAGCAGACTTCAGCATAGAATTCCAGTGCCACTCCTCAGATTGTATCAAACAATGCGATTGTTCTCTGATCTGATTATTCATATGTGGACTTTGCAGTCTTTTTAGACTTTTTCATTTGAGTTGTTTCAGTGTGTTTCTTGATGGCATCCCATACATAATATGACCTTCACCACCTAACGTAATGTAACTTAAGCTACCCAAACATTGGTTTGCTGACTGATGTTGTTACAAGAAATAATCAAGCATATTTATGATTATATTATTCTTCGTTTTTGTGCTGTGTAGAGTTCTTAGTAGACGTCTAAACTGATGCTTCATAATCATCACAATCAATACAGAGCCATTAAAATAAAATCTAACTTATTCCTATTTTATACAAGGTGAATTCTTATTTGCATTTGGTTTTACGGTTGTCTCCCAATTATTTTTTCACATTAAGATAATTCTTTCCATCGTTCAGTCAATGGAATGCACCCATTAATCAGATCATGATTTAATCCCATTGCAAGGATTCTTCATTGGTCCTGGTTTTCCCAGTCACATTGGATATTCATTGTGATTTTCTAAATATTTATGTCAATGTTTGATGCATTGTACTAAAATTGTGTTAGAAATTTCATATTGCCTGATACATATTTGTTCCATAAGAACTCACCACTAGGCCCTGTTCTGAGGTAGATGAACTCCAGTAATCGGAAATGTATGCTTTGTTGTTTTGCAGTTGCACATGGCATTTGACTCATCAGATAGCAGTTCAGATGAGGATGGAGGTGGAGCCTACAGGGTAATGGAAAACAATAGCCGGAGATCAAGACTCAGTACACAGAGGTCTCACCATGTCAGACCATCTGCTTCAGCCATTCCTAGAACGGTGTTTCATAGGTGAAGTATTTATTGGAATGAGGGCTGTAGTCCAAACTGCAGAACTCTGCTGAATAGAGGGACTTTGTTATTTATTGTTGGTATGATTAAATTAAAGGATTCCTATTGGCTGGATTTATGGATTGGATGTGATAAACAAGAAATGTGTACAGAATTTTGTTGGGAACTTTTCAGAAAATGGCCTCTTTAATAACTGAGGAGATGGAAGGATAATACTAAAACTGATCATAGTGGAATAGGTCATGAAAATTAATTGGGTTGACCTGGCTGAGGATCATGCCCACTAGTGGGTTGTGTTACCAGGGAGTTACTTTATGTTTATGCTACTTATCTTTTGACTTTGGAACTGTTTTCTCTTTATCAGTACATGCTAAGAGAAAATACATACTTTGAATGGCTTACTGAAGCACATATTGATAACACAGTTGATAGGTGTTTCACAAACTGGTACCTACCCGCATAAGTATTCTGATCTGTATTTAAAACATTTGTGTATAATGCCCAGCAAAAACACTTGGGGAAAGATTGTAAATTATAGTTCTGACCTTGCACCTTACTGTATATTTAAAAGTGCCATATAAAACTGAAGAGAAGAGGTCACTTTGAAGAGCTAGACATGGATAGGATGAAAATATTGAATCTAAAATAAATTGGGTGTGAGAACATGGACTGGGTTTATTTGACTCAGGATAGGGTCTTATGAACATGGAATTTTTTCAATAGCAAAGTGACTGCACAATGCAATTAGCCTGATTTGAAACTGAATTCTTTTATATTTATGACACTGTAATATAATGTCTCTGCTATAGATAGCTGTGGCAGCGGTAAATTAATATCAAGAACCATAAGAGAGATAAAATTACAAAGAGTACATGTGCAATATATGTGTAGCCTACTCAATATTGGAATGTGCTTAAAGATGCAAGCCACAAGGCAGTCCATAATGCAGCATTTCGCAACATTTTCCATGTGGTGGCACAGTAACATGCAGTTGATAGAATCACAGCACACCAGACAATGTGCTATTGTAATCTTGTATCTAATTATCTCAAAGGTACAGATGCCTTTTGAGAAGTGAATAGTCTCTTAGCTGGTCAAAAAATTCCCTGCCTATTATGAAACCTAAAGGTTCAGTACCAAGATCACAGCATGTGTGAACTGTACTCATATTATCCTTCACATTCATTATGTTTTCATTTAGGCTGTGTGAATTTTGTGGTGCAGTTTAACAACATTTAGAAACACTTTAGAATAATTAATAAATGATAGATGGCATTCAAATTGCCATTCATAAAACATTAAACAGTTTAACAAATGAACAACAGCACAGGCTAATGAGAGGGCTTAACAAGATCTCGCACTTTGCAAAATGTTAAATGTGTAGATATGTGTTTGAATGCCAAGTGCTGCAGCACACCAGTTGAGAAACAGTACCCTGTTACAGAGCCCTGGATGCGGTGTGCATGTCATGGGACAACCTTCACCTGAAGCACATCTTGTCCAGTGACACATACTGCAGCCATGTTCATGATAACTCGCTCAGCACTGTTGGCAGTTTCAATAGCCAAGGGCAGCCCCTGTGGCATGGTGGGTTTACTCTGTGCCAGCACTGTCGCATGCACGCTCACTCATGTATATATACTTTTAGGATAGGTTTATGATTTGATCTTGACGAGTCATGCACCATGAAAATAATTTCATGCAGAGTACAGTACTAAACATACCAGTAATTAATGGCCTATGGTGAATTTATATAGTTTCAGTCAGTATACTGTTCATTTATTGAAAAGATTTTGTTGACACACTGGAGGGGTCCATATGACCCAAAGATGATATGATGATGTTTTGCATTGAAATAATATGCCTTTGAATTTTGGAAAAAGTATTTTTAAAAAATGAGTGCTTTGAAAACTTCAGATTAAGGCGACTAGAATTTGGACAGAAAAGTCTGGTACATTTGGAATGTATGTATAAAGTATTGTTTGATTTTAAGTGACTAAACTGAGTAGGAAAATAATGATGATTTTGACTGCTTTTATATTCTTCATCCACCTGTCATGTCTTGGAAGAAGATACTAACTTGGTCAATAAAATTTTCTTGGGCAGTCAGTCTTGTCATTTGGTTACACAAAGCAACCAACATTTCAGGAATCATCTCCATCCCCATCATCAGGGTTCTGATGTCAGACCAGTTGACACAGCTGATTGTCCAAGAAGATTTTATTGAGCTTGGTTGCTGCGAGAGCTTCAAATGATACATACTAACTTGGTGTTCAACATCTAACTTTAAAAATTAATTTTTAGAGATGGACTCAACCTCATTAGTTTCATTCTGACATCTGATTTCAGGCTCTAATGAATTGTATATGTAAATTATTTATGGTCAGACATTTGTAATGTTATAGAAATACTTCCTTTAATTTCAGGAGACTAGATTAGTTATTCCGTTGGAAGTATTTAAGGTGTGGTCCACCCGTCATTTGAAGTGTTTCACAGTATTTTTTTGATATTGTACAGAAATGGTCAAGAAAGATAGAGATGAGCAATACAGGATTACTTAGTGTTGAGGAAAATGTGTATGTTTTACTGTGAAGAGAGATACCAGCATAGTGTTAATCTGCCGTGTTTGAATTATGATGTGACAGCCGTGAGTAATATTTTGTGAGATCTGAGAGAGCCACATGACAGTTTCAATGACTGTGTGTTTGTCAGGTCAGCTATTGATGTCTGCATGGGCCAAAACATATATACCCTGGAGTTAATTACCAGCATCAGTTTATTGTACTTTTGATTGCAATGTTAGTACAGTATCCAAGTCCAAATTGTAACACTGGTTTATAGAGCCCCTGCCAACATGTGCAGCAAGGGTGGATGCACTGAGGTCCCATGGGCACCAGGGGGCAGCACTGAGACTAGCAGTGGCAGTGGTGCGTACCATGAAGCAACAGCAGCTGGTGGCACAGCGCCGTTGGCATGAGAGCCAGCAACAACAGCAACATCGTAGTGCTGCCAGTAGCAGTTCTGCTAACCTTGCCACTCCCTGCACATCCAGGTGCACTGGCGGACAGACAAGTTTAACGGCAACATCGATGGTTCCTCATGCCTGTACTGGTTGGGGTGATGGATGGGTAGGACATCCCCTGGATCCTGTTGGATGTCTTTTTGACACTTTAGCAGATGCATCACTTAGTCCAGATGATCAAACATCACGTGCTCCTTCCTATTTTGGTAAGGATGAGGTCATTTTCTTGAAAGAAATCCATGATTTTAGTATCATGTTATGTTTGCATCAGGTTGTCTAGTTTAAATTTTGCATGCAAAATTTATTATTTATATAGGTCCTGCTGAGAGAAAAGAATCATCTTTTTCAGCCATACTTACATTGTGTTCATAATTTTAAAAACATTGACCTTCAATTATTCCATAAGAAGGCCAAAATTACTTTTATTCTGAAAGTTAAAATTTTGTATTTTCTTTAATGTCATTGGTCTGGGAGTAAACATAGAAAATCTTGAGTACTTGTTTATGTCTTATAATTGGAATCCATGATATTGTTATCATATAACTGCAGCTGATGAGGATTTCTAAAATGTTAGAAAAGAAACTGTGACTGAGGTAACAGTGGAGATAAACTTCAGTTTAGCTTTCTAGTGGTTTCACTAAAGTGTAAAGACAAGTTTTTTTTTTATGGGTGTGAAATTTGGTCCTTCCCTCTGAATGAAGACTATAGAATGAATCTATTTGAACATGAAAGTGCATGGAAGAATTTTTGGACCTAAGTGAGACAAAATTACATACAGAACTTTTAATGATTGTTTTCTTTGCCTAGTGTTGTTACAGCAATTAATTTGATAGGAAGAAAAACAAGAAATGCAATTAAGATTTTGTTACAGTACTTCATGGAAAGAGGGCACTTTGAAAGTAAAATGTAAAATGTTGCTTCAAGAAATGGATTGTGAAGATGTGAAGTGGTCAGTACGGTGACCAGTGACAAACTGTTGGAGTGGTGGTAATGAATCTTCAGTTTCACTTATAACAGAGAGTAGCTGAATGTGTATTGGCTGTTTGGGAACTTAGATGCTTTCTCTCACAATCTCCTGTGGTTTGTTTTCCAGACCCAGTGGGTGTGGAGGACACAAGCATCACTGCCCCTCCTCGGTATCATCATGTGCCAGTAATTGGCTCACGTGACCGCTCAGAAACATACCTAACGTTGGCTGTTGAGGTGGCTCTGATTGGACTGGGCCAGCAGCGAATCATGCCTGCAGGTCTATATGCACAGGTACACATCACTGTCATCATCATCATCATCATCATGTACTGGTGTTTTCAGCTGGGAGTGGTCATTCTGTGACATTGTTTTGTGTCTTACTGTCTTATTGAATCAGTATTTACTCCTTTATATTTGCATGTCTTCTCTAACATGGTCTTCCTAGTTTTTTGGTTATTCATCCTAATTCTGATTTTGCTGAGGAATATTGTCATCTGCGCATACTACATTAATTTAATTGATGACATGCTATATTTGCTACTATGTTGCTATCATAATTTCCTCAAAATTTGTCCCCTTGTAGAAAACTTAGTTTATGATGGAGAAAAGAGTAGTATTGTGATAATAATATTTGTCTAATCTGTGATGGAATAAAATGAAGTATATGAAACTGTTTAAGTATTTTAAGACTCATTAATGAAACTGTGTGTTTGCTGGAAGAGTTTTGCTGTTTATGACAGTTTCAAAACTTACTGCTAAATAGAAGATGGCTGTCTTCTGGGTTGTTGCTCTGTGTAGTCTGGTAGAAGTTTTCCGATGTTTCAGAGGTTCTTGCTGCCTCCATCACCAACCAGACTACATGGTGCAACAACCCAGAAGACAGCCATCTTCAGACTCACCATGGTGAAAACCTCAAATACTGCATTACTGCTAGATAATGTGTACATGAAAAGCAAGAATATAATATTGTAGTCATGAAATATTTTTCATAGCAACAACAAAGGATTTTGCCCTTCATACTTCTTTTACTTTGTTTTGATTGCCTGGATTAAGGTCACTTACTAAGCAGTGTGTGTGTGTGTTGACAACTATAGGAAAAGTCGTGTAAACAGGAGGACCGCCTGATAGCAAAACTGCAGGAGATTGAGATGGACAACAGTCTGGTTGCTGTACTGAGGCGCCAAGCCATTGTGCTGTTGGAGGGGGGCCCCTCCAGTGGCTTGGGACTGGGAATTCATCCTGAGAGCATTCCAATGCACACATTTGCCAGGTTCCTGTTCCTTTCACTGCTCAACTACTACCCTGACTTGGCATATGAGGTTGGACTGCGGGCCATGCGGTAAGACTCTCACATTACCATAGTATTATTTATTGTTTATTATCTAACACTGTTTCTTTTGTTTGAAATTTTTAACTTCATATCCATTTAATTATTAAAAAATGTATTACAGACTGAATAGTTTACTATAATTTTACATATATAAGTGAAAAGGTATTAAATTATACAGACACCAAAATGAATAACAATACTAAATTAACCAGTGTTTGTAAATTGGGTTAAAGATTGTGCTTAAAAATTTGCTTGCACTGTTTTCCAGTCATTTCAAACAGCACACTGTGGCTTGTTCCCAAATTGTCCTGTGTTGTCATTCCACTGTTCTTTATAGTCTGTGTTTGTGGTTATTTTTTGCTGTTGACAGGTGTTTAACATTTTAAAAGTGACCTTCGTTGTAAACAGATATTGAATTAATTTATACCCAATATGTTTTTGTAAATGAAGTGAGATGATGCTGATTGTCATTGTTCACAATATGAGTGAAATTTGTTTTATTCAGAAGTGGTAAGTAACAATAGGTGGAAATGCATCCTCACAGCACTGAAAGTTCTTCAGTTTACTAACAAGGCTCCAGTTATCTTTTATTTTGTAAATGTACGTATTAATTTACTTTAAGTGTTTACCACTGAGAGTACCTTTCATCAGAATTCCTTCATATCTGCTTGTCCTTCCCCCTCTAACTTTCCTATTCAACATGAAATAAATATTGTTTAATCACACAATGCTGTGACTATATCACTGCAGCTTCATTTGTATAAACAGTGCTCTGTTCACATTGATGTAGGAGATATGGCTTTACCCACTTTTAGTATTGGTATTTTCCTTCTAGATTACCTATTCTAGAAGAGCATGAAGATGCTGATGATCCAGTCAACGGGAATGTTTCCTCATTAGTTCTAAGTCGATATCCGCGCTGGTTCACATTGGGTCACATCGAGACACAGCAGTGCAACCTTGCATCTACCATGCTCAGTGCTGCCAAGGGTACAAGCCTAAATATCACACATTATCTATGATTATTATCAGTAGTGTGTTCTCTGCATGATGTGCATGAAATGATCATGTACTAGAGAGTTTGTGTCTAGCATTCATTTTGTTTTGTTCTTGTTGGGAATGACAAGTTTTATTTCAAATATAAATATTTTTGGAAGGAAATTCATGGTTCTGTGCAGTTTAAAATTTTCAATGACCATTACATTTGTTTTTCTACAGACTTGTACCTGCTGTAAGTTAACATCAGTGCCAATGAGATGTACATGGGCGCAAAGAACAAATGTGGAAGATATATGTTGTACAACTAGAAATACTTGTTGCAGGGGAGGTGCTGAGGTTGCGGACAGTTTTGGAGTCAGCACAGCGACATATCCACAGTTCCTCACACCTCTTCAAACTGGCTCAGGATGCTTTTCGATTTGCCACACCAGAGAATGGCCCCCGGCACCCAACCCTACTTAGCGTGGCCTTTGAGTTGGGCCTGCAGGTAAACTGTGATGTAGATGTGCAAGGGGTATGTGAATTAGCAGCAGAAATGTGGTCTCACTTCAGCTGTATGAGAATTGAAGTTTCCATGTTGGTTAAAATGTGGCTGTCTTGTACTGTTGTGGGTTGTTACCACCTACAAGACTACATGGTATCATAATCCAGAAGACAACATTATGTACTTTCTTGAACCATATTCACTCTCTGCAAAGATGTCTTAAGCATCCAGCTGTTAAGCCTTTAATGAATAACTGCATATATGAGTATGTCTCTCATTTTAAAAAGTGTTGTATGCAGTGTTTTCTTTATGACCTGTTGATTAGGTGCTGATAGTTTTATAGTGCAAGTAGGTCCATTGCTGTTTTATTGCTTGTTAATCATTCAGTTTATAAAGTGCTCACTATCTAGTGTCACAGCAGTAAATAGTGATTAGGCATGTACATTTGCTATAATTTATAGACCATAAGATGCACCCAGGTCTGTGGACATGGATTATGAGAAAAACATTTTATTGCACATGCTTAAAAATTTAAATAAAACAGCCTAGTGAACATGTTATTTTGGTTTCTTTAGGTGATGCGCATGACATTGTCATCACTGAACTGGCGCCGACGAGAAATGGTTCGCTGGCTGGTGACCTGTGCCACCGAGGTTGGAGTGGAGGCTCTAGTGTCCATCATGCAGAACTGGTATCAACTGTTTACACCAACTGAGGCTACAGGTATGGGCCATGAGTTGCAATGCTGTCATGTAAGAGTGACATGTCCTACCATGTCTGGAACTTTTCTGTCTGTGTGCAGGTCCAGTGGCTACTACAATCATGTCTCACAGCACTATCATGAGGCTGAACCTGACATTTGCTCAACAGGAAGAACTGTCTGGCTGTGCCAGGAACTTGGCTCTTCAGTGTGCCACCAAAGTGAGTATCAAGGAAAGATTGTGATGTCTGCATACATCTTGAATGAGATGATGAATTTTTATAAAAATTGGTATGAATATTATACCATTAGAGACCACCTCAGTTCCGTACTTCATTATACCCTACCATTTGTGAATCCAACTTGAAGTTTGTGAGAACCTGTCAGGTGTGAGTGAAATTAGTAGCTCTTTATGTAAGTCCCTGAAATTTTGTATGGTAAGAGCTTCAAGAAATATACAGTTTTTATTAATGTAATATTTTGAATACATTTGAAACAATAACCTACAGTCACATGAATCCTATATTCAGTGTAGGCTTTGTATGTTACATATGCAGATATGGTGGCTGTGTTTTGCCTGACAAATTTCGTGTAGTGTGAATCTTACTTATGGAAATTATGGGCAGAAATACATTTTTAAAATCTGTATGATTACAGATCTGGAATCTCTACATATCTCTGTCTGTATTGAAGGAAAGTGGGTGTCATATTCATTACAGCATTGATAAGATTTAATGGCAGCTTCCTATTTGAATTTTGTCTAAGAGTACCAGACATTCAGGAAAGTTTCCCATATAACAGATTGTGCATAAAGATTACTGAAGCTACAGTTGCCTTGTTGTCATAAAGATCGCTGATAAGGTGGAGGATTAATCCACAATTTGTTTAGCTTCAGCTGTCAACATGCCAACAAAAATACAAATAATTGCAGAGAAAATTACTTGAATGACCAAGTTTTCTTCTGTGCCATTCTGGTTGTGTGGTAGTTACTGTACTCCTTTTAGACACAAAAAACATTTTTAGTTAAGTATATTTTCCTGAGAAATACAAAGATGGAGATGACAACATTACATTTTATTTTTTTCACTTCCTCCTTCCCCTTCCTCTTCTTTTTCTCCTGCCTCCTTGTCCTCTCTCTCCTCTCCTCTACTGCCATTTCTTCTTCCTCCAACTTGTTATGCATTCTTGTGATAGAAATGAGCACTAAATATTACAGAGCCATGTTATGTTGTGCTTTACCTTACCATTATGATGCAGTGAGAAATAAATAGTATCCTGACTTGCTTAGTTGTATGTTTGGTTCTGTATGTTTGTGTAGTAGTGACACAAGGTTACTGTTTCAGGATCCCCCAAACTGTGCCTTGAATGCTCTGACCCTGTGTGAGAATGAAGCACTGGCCTTTGAGACAGCATATCAAATCGTCATTGATGCTGCATCACATATCATGACTTCCTCCCAGCTCTTCACTATTGCACGATACATGGAGCACAGGGGATACCCCACAAGGGCATACAAGCTAGCAATGCTTGCCATGAAGAATGTGCATTTGGCATACAATCAGGTAAATATTCAGTATGATGACTGATAACTTAGTAGTACAGCAGAAGGATTGCTGTCATGTTGTCATAAGCCTTCTGTTGCACCCCATCCCCAGCCACTGCAATTCATATTGCAATTTGATTGCTTGTTTATCCAGTATGTTTTAATATTCTCCTCTCATATTTGCCTGATCTCACAAATGGCCCCTTCCTTTGATATCTTCCAACAGAAATTGTTTGTCATTTTCCATGCATTTGCATGTCCCACCCATCTTATCCTTATTTTTTTCTCTCTAATAAGTTGCACCTTGTCCTGGACTTAGCAAACATATGGGAATGCAGATGTAGCTCCATACATTCTTAACTTTGGCACTAAATAGAGGTGAGTGGTTAGCTTTATGCCTCCACCACTTTACTCCCAAGGAAATAACTCTGGATATGAAGCTGGGTAGGCCAAAGAGCCAGTATGGACATTATGGTGAAGAGCAGTCTCTTTCTCTTCCAAGAACTGTACTCTGATTGTCCAGCCTGTAGCAAGCTCCTGAGTATATAAATTTCTCCAGTGCTTCATTAATTTCTCTGGGTCCAAATATCTTCCTTAGCATTATCTTCTCAAACAGTCTGAATATTTGCAGCTCTCTCCTAGTGAGAGATAAAGTTTTATTCTCATTTAAAACATGGAGGAAAGTTACAGTTGTATATATTTTAATCTGTAGGAAGAGTCAGGATGGAGAGACACATTTCCTGAATTTGTTCTGATAGAAACAAATTTAGCATCCTTGTCCAATTGCAGTCATGCCTTCTTGTTTGAGTGTTTATATTGAGACTTGTTGCAGGACACTCATCCTGCAATCAATGACATCCACTGGGCTTGTGCCTTGAGCCACTCCTTGGGGAAATCAGAGCTCACTAATATGATCCCACTATTGGTGAAGAATGTGCAGTGTGCGACTGTTCTGTCTGACATCTTAAGACGCTGTTCCATGACTGCCCCAGGCATCTCATGCCCACACCCTCCTGGGGGTAGTGGTGCAGCAGATGGAGGGAAACACCACCATCATCACCATCATCATCGCAACAGCAGCCGTGGTGGGTGTGGGGGAGGAGTAAAGCCCCTGTCTTATGATCGTCCACCCTTGAGGCAACTCTTGGAGGCTGCAGTAGCAGCATATGTTAACACTACTCATTCTCGTCTCACCCACATCTCCCCTCGACATTATGGTGACTTCATAGACTTCCTTGGTAAAGCACGCGACACATTTGTCCTTGCCCATGATGGGCATGCACAGTTCACACAACTTGTGGAGAACATGAAGGTAGCATACAAAGGGAAGAAGAAACTTATGTTTCTAGTTAAGGAGAGATTTGGCTGATGTTAATGTTTGAAAGGGAGCAAGAGATGTACATTGTGTTGGTTCTGCCCCTGTGGTTTGCTTCCTCTAATCTGGCTGAACAGCAAGTAGACTAAGATATTATCACAGAGATTAATTATACAGAATGACTTTGAGACTTTATCTCTGATACTACTAGACAAATAACTGCAGGCTTCTAACACCACCACTGAACCTACCATTATTAAGTTAAACTTGTGCAATGCCATGCTGTCTAGATTATGTTTAAAAAAATGTATTTTGTGCATTATGTATAAATTGAATTTTAATGTATGTGGAGACAGGTTTGTAACAATTCTAAGATCTCATGTCCTCGTAATGGAACTGTAATATTGTCAGATTAATTAGTTTCGGACTTCCGCGAGACAAACACACTGTAATGAACTATGAGAACAGTGATCGTTTTGTACATAATAGTACCATGTCTGTGTGTTTGTATGTGATACTGTGTTTTCAACCAAAGATCGTTGTTTGTATAATAAGAATGAGACATTTTTTTATATGACAACACATTTATACCAAAACATGCTGTGCTTACAGGGCCGGGATGCAGTTCCGGTCAGGGACTTGCCAATGCTTCCTATTATGTATGTTGATTCTCTATAGCAACGAGTACAAAGTAATAGTATGCAGTTTGTAATAGTGGTGTAAGCATGTGCAGTCTAGAACATTGTACATTGCAAAGATATGAATTCAATTCCATAACTACCTCCATCGGTAAAGAAGCCTATTAGTGTCCTAATATCATGAATGTCATGAAGCCAACATGATTTGTGTTCTTGTCAGTGTGGATTTTTCTTTATTTTGCCATACATATATTTCATAATTGCCTTAAAAGAGCATCTTTCAATATTTATTTTTTAGAGAAAATGGAGATGGTGAATACTACATGCTGAAAATGAACTTTGCCTTGTACCAAAAATTGCTTTGTTGTAAGGCATTGAATATAACAGCTAACTAAACTAGAGATATGAAATTTAGCTCAACATTGTGTGCAGCACCATATCATTGTTAGGAACTGTTTTCCTCCTGATGACTTGATTGTAATCACCCAGTCACAAGATCACTTCATCAAGCTGTTACTTATAATTTAAATGCATTTTTGGTTCTTATGCATATTGCATATCATTCACTAGCATAAAACATCAAACATTCATTTCAGAGGTAACATAATTCTTTTTTCTTTGGAAGCTAGAATTGCCTTCATTTTTCATATAAGTTTGCTTCACAGATTCCTGACATGATCAATTTTCTTAGCTAGATGATTATTATATCAAATATATTTCATAAACTCATTAATATTATTCTTGAATACTTTTGGAAATAATTTTTTATACACAATGTTAAAAATGCTTGAAGCTGATCGATAATAATTATTTCCCTGGGTTAGGTTATGATCCCTTTCATCTCCTTCAAGTACCAAGGTTAAGAACAGGTGAAGCTATACTTTCCCTTCTTCCATACGCTTTCATAAGCACAGTGCTTAATTAAGTACCAGGAACAACTTTACCTTTGTCATCACATAGCTTGTCTTTTATAATAACACTCCTGTCTCTGGCCTTAGACCATATTATTAGTGATAATATAAGATACAGAATAATAAGATGTTATGTAACCATGTGTTCATCTCTTCCTTCATGCTTCATCTTAACTGATTAATAGTACATATGATCTGATGGCAACTAAGTATATTGAATTTTTCTCGGCCCACCAGTTGTGTCAGGTGTCTTAATATAGAAAACATCAATGTTCAGTACTTCAGTACCCTGAGGACAAGGACAAAGATGGTTCTCAGAACATCAGTGTTTATTTCATTAAACCACCTGACATGGCTGGTAGCCCAAAAAGAATTCATTATGATAAATAGTACACTCTGGAGTATTTAGTTCTGTGAAGAAATTATTAATATGGAATGAAGCTTGATGAAATTGGTCTGTAGGCTGTTTTCAAATGAGTCGCCGAGAGGCAGGGATGTCAAACAGGTTCTAGCTTTAAAATTTGATGCACATCAAGTTTTGCCACTAAAGTTGAGTGTAGTTTCAAGTTTATTTGGACTGAGGTCTACGTGTATTATCGATTAATCAAAATTATGACTTTGTTCTAGTTTGCAGTTTTGGTGAACAATTTTCTATCTGTACAATGATATAACTGAGAAGCAATATAGTGTGTACAGTGTGATCAACAGCTGAAGTACTCTACCTCATCAGCAGCTGTGCCGTGTGAGTGGATGCATGAATGTTGCCCCTCCCGCTTGTTATTTTCATTAAATTGGCTTTTGTGTTACAGAGACTCAGAATACTTTTAATTACAGAATCAAGATTTATTGGGTGTAGAAGGATTTGAAGGCTGTTAAGAACAAGACAAAAGAAGGGAATGGTTATTTTCTGGTCTCTGCAGGAATGTCTAGCAGGTTCATTTTCTGTACAGGACATACTGATTGTAATCAACAAATTTCATAGTTTATCACCAATGCTAAATTACTCTTTATAGTTGATATAACAACATGAAATGAATTAAGCATAGTGAATGCCAGAATTTGATCTTCAGAGTGGATGATAACTGGTCTTATGTTTCTGTTTTCCTTGAGATTTTTTATTGGCAGCAATATTTAATTCACATGGACATGTTTTTTGTATAAGTAAAGGGAATTAATCTGTTCAGTCAGAATCCTATAGAATCTAATCTGTTTAGGTTTGTATTGCTAGCAATGTGTCTGAGAATAATAGGAGATTTATTTATTTCAAGCTAACCCTGTTTCTTATGTTCTTACATAGAATTTGCTTGATGTATATGTTACACTTACTGCTGATAATTATGTCCAACACATCCTGTTATACATGCTCCAAACTTTCTTAATTATCACTGCCAACTTTATAAAATAGTACATAGTTTGTACTCATTATGTTTATGTTCTGCCGCCAGTTGACTTAAATTGTGCGGTACACTAGACTCTGAAAAATGAAACAAACAAATGGTGCATATTACACAGTATTGTCTGCTGAAATGTAAAAGAAAGAAGTGCGTTTTGGTTTCCAATCATACAATAGTAAGGTAATATTTCTTTTTTTGTTATTACTTGTAAGCTTCCTGTGTTTAAAATATTTAGCACTTGAGATAAGAAAACCTGCCATGTTGGGAAATTATCAGGAAGTTATGCATATATTCTGCATATCATGTATTTAGTATCTTGCACAAAACAAAGCAGACATGGTCTGTTTGTAGTTAAATACCAATATTAGAAACCAAGACTTTTCCTTATCAGTGTAATAGCTTTAGAAAGTTTATATATATATCCATCCATGATACATATGGCACCAGAATGTATTTATGTGGTCATTGTTATTCTTAAAATGAAGAATTGCCACAATAATTGAAACATTTATGACGGTGCTGAAATCTGTTGGTAACACTTCATTTGTTTAGAACCTTGTTTGGTTATGTTATTAATTAGTTGTTACAGTTATAAAATAATATGTGCATAATGAAATTTATGTGGTATGAAGAAGCTACATGGGATGATGTTAGAAATAGATTCTGGTGCCCTAAAATCAGCTTTCTTGAGCGGTTATCGTTACTGTTGGAATCAGTGATGTAATTGGCAACTAGAATTTGTCAAGACATGTTGAAGCTTTGTCATGCTATTTAAATTCACCATATCTTGATGACTGTTCTTACCAGTTAATACCACACCTTAAAGTTTTAGAATGTGAAGTGTGACGGGATATTAAATTTACTGCTCAGATGTTGGATAGCTCCAAGGAATAGGTCTTTTCATATGGAGGTAGGAAGAGGGGGTAGCTAAACCATCTGTGGAAGAATTGGTAAATGCAGATAGAAGGTATCCTGGTTGTAGAAATTTGAATTGTCATTCATTATCCTCCTTGATGAAACTTGACAAAACACAAAATATTATGTGGTTTTTTTTTACATAACTGATATTGCTGTATTGCCATATATCCACCGAAAATACTAAGGATATGTCTGTTTATATTGGCTGTTTCTACCAATTCTGAAAACTGCTTAGTTTACAATTTTTAATTGGAATATACCTGAGCTCCATTTAGTTTTACTGGCCATGTAATATTCCTCTTGTTATTGTACTTGGGGGGGGGGGGGGGATGAAACCCACTTAGTGGGTTTTCATTCCTTAAATATTAATTCTTTGACTTCAGTCAGAGGTCAGGAAAGTCTGTAAGACCAGGAGTGGGTATGTTAAAAAAACTAATCTGAGAAGTATCAGGTAATTTATGTCTAACAGAGGGTTAATTTTTCAGCAATTTGAAGGTTGAATGATGGTCAATGGATCTCACAATAACTTTCTTTCCTTGGCATTAAATTTGAGTGGATAATATTTCATCACTTACCGGTACTGTTACACTTCATAATGTAATTAGCAGTTTATACAATATTAAAGAGGACTATGAACTTGTGTTTTGTGAGAGTCAATTATAATGTAAGAAAACTATTCTAAACACAAGATGGCCTTGGTGTATGTGGTGCCATGCAGTCAACATGTTGATATTTCATTGGAAAGCTTGGAATTATCATAAGAACTAGCAGACTTGCTGTAGTATGTGGCAAAACCTCTGACCTCCAAAAATCTGTGTTCTGTCTTCACCAAGTAAAATTTTTGAATGGTTTCACAGTCAGATTCAGCTATAACGAAATACATTGAAGTTAACTTTTACTGGCATGTCTACTTTGTACTATCTGAGGCTGAAGAGTTGTTTGATAATAGAATGGAGTTCTCAGGGGGAATAGAATGGCACTGTGCCTAATTCCTTTTATTGCAACATCTGGCTGCAATTAAAACTTTGGAGAGTCAGCTGTTTGTTTGTTCATTTATGTCATATGTGTGAACTCTGTGGAAAGCTTCATCCTGTTTCAGAACATTTTGCATTTCAAAGGTATGTTCTCTTGTATATTAAACTTTTATTGTGTTAAAGAACGTTGATATGCAGTGGATGCTGTAAAACAAGCTCTATTTTAAAGTTAAAAAATTTTCTTCTAACTGTTTAATTACAAAATTCTAAAGGATAAAAATTTAACTGATCATGAAGTGGTTAATTTGAGCAGTGTTTAAGTTACACACTCAAAAGTAATACAAATGTGTAGTAATTGTGGGCAAACATTTTCTTTATCATGCTACTGGTTAAACATGTAATGAATCAGAAGTAGATGTTACTGATCAAAATCTGTTACAAATTTTAAACTGTAAAGATCTTCATCGATGGGTTTAACATTTTACTGCGTTTCAGTTTTTTTTATTAAATTTCATTCTTCAGTTTCCAGCATTTTTCTGTCATTCTCTGCACTTGACTGCCTTTCTTGTGAATAACTGACATTTCTCCAGTCTCATAACTTATTCACTGCCCTAATTAACTGTAAATGCTAGATTTTTTAAAGTTAATAATTGTGGGTTACTTTGTTTTGTAATCCAATTATGGCTTATAGAGTACAAGTGTACACTTATGCTGACATACAGCACTGTGTATAAATGTGCAGTGCTACCATGTGGATGCTTTGTATCATATCCTTCATATTGTGGGTCTGAGAAATCAGAACTAATATTTGTTGCCTTGGAAAGAGTCTCTAATTGGCTATGATTTTAATTTTTAAAAATGTCAAGCGTGCAAACTATATACTTTTTAGTGAAGCTGTAAGATAGTATGACTGGGAAGTGAATTATAAATTGTGCATAAGGGCAAGTAGTTTTTTGTTATTCTGCTCCCTTGGATTCTGCCATCAGCATGCTAATCAATCAAAATATGATATATTTGGCAGAACACAGATTTTATGAAGACAATTCAACAAACCTTAAGTGTTAGTGAAAGATCATCGTAATTGCTTGGGTAGATTCCTTGCTGAGAGTACAGCCTTGTTGCATGCAACAAAATTTTGCGAATCATGTTATTAAGGGTGGTGCAAGATTAAATGGGTTTTGAACTTTTGTGGCTCTGCATACACTAATTTCAGCTGCCTTACAGAATAAGCCTAGTTCCAGAACTTTAATGGAAAGTCTGTATATCTTTAAAAACTTTAAAACAACTGTCTTCATAATGTCACTCAAAAATTGCAGTTTTGCTAGTCTAAAATTCAGGAACTCATTGTCTTCCTTTTAGCTTCAAATGTGTCTTATGAACATGTTCAGTTTGTCAATATTACATCCTGGTTTAAATTGTACATTATGTTCCTTTCAGTTTTTGGGAGGAAATCGAAATGTTGGTGAATTCATTTTTATATGAAGAAATTAATTTTTTTGTACTATCTATAATAAGTAAGTAATATTTGAGATTTTATTGATTTACATGATACTGTACATAAAATATATGTTCTGTTTATGTTTAGCTAAGTGCAGGATGATTATTGAGTTATGAGAAATATTCAGTTACTGATGATTAAATATATTGACATTTTGCCAGTGAAATATGGCAATATTGTCATATCTGAGACAAAGTACACAGTGGATACTTGCTTACTGTTAAAATTATTGTGGCAGGGAAAAAAATCTAGTTGTCTCTACTTTTAGGCATAGATACAATTTTGAACCATGCAAAAGTATCTGTAACATGCATACATAATTCTTTCTATGAAGTGTTCCATCACATGGAATCATGTACCTGAAAAATATTTATTTTACTATGTGTTTAACTTTTGACTGGAGTATTTGAGTTACAAGAAATTAGTATGAAAGTTAATTGAAGTCTAAATTTAACTAACCTGCTACTCTTAGTTATATTAGTAGTCAAAGTTAAGATTTTGTTAATTCTTTTCTGGCTCTCTTGTATTGAACTCTTGACATAGGATTCATGAATGAGGTTTTGTAACATACACACACACACACACACACACACACACACACACACACACATACATATATATACACGTAGATTGAGCCCAGAAGACATTTCTTGAAGTTGAACATCTTTCAGTCCAGTCACCATTCTATACTGTCACAAAACAAGAAATGTGGTTGTGAATTTAGGCCATTTTATTTACAGTATCAGTACAGGAAATATTAAATTTGGTATTTTTGTGAAAATTTGAAACTGTAAGATACTGCATTATGTGAGGTTATCAGTTAATGTGCATCAGTAATATGTTATGTTTCACTGCCATTCCTGATTGAATCTCAATTTACAGGGTTCAGCTACAGTAAAGTCATGGAAGCCTGGCAGCTGAGGTTCAAAATGTTATGGTGCTCTTATTTTTATCCTGCACAGCCATGTGCAAACAAGTGAACCCCTATACATTTAATATTTTTGTTTAAAAATGATAACTTTAAAAGGGATGTTTGTTGTTTGCAAGGTTACATATTTACTCAGGATTAGTTTTATTCTTTGTATTTGAGGAAACTACCCAAGTTTCAGTTATTTAATTTAGATTAGAAATCTAGATCACTCACTGTAATTTATTTTTGCATTTGTAAAGGTTCATGTCTGAACATGAAATACTGTGAACATAAAGACTGCAGCCAAGGTGAAGCAGCAATGTATTCTGTAGAATGTTATATTATTTTTAGCAAATATTTTGATGTGTCTTATTTGCATTTTCTGTAGGTCCAGGGCAAGACATTCTTCATTTGTTCTCCATAGGACTGACATGTGTAAATTTGGAGTGAAAGACTTTGGGTGTGTTTAATATTTTAATACAGTTGCAAATCGTCCCCCCCCCCCCCCCCCCCCCACTAAATGAATGTAAACATACATTTCCTTCCTAGGTATTTTGAAATGTAAAATTGAGACTCTTTTCTTTGACTTTTTATTTTCTTTGGTTGTTAATGTAGTTTTCCAGACAAAGTTGCTGGTTTGGAACAATTAGTATTGCATATCGGCTGTAATGGAATTTCCCAATGATTTGAAGTCAGGTTGCTGTGTTTGGACGATTGTGAGTGACACTGTAAATATGTATAAATTACACTTTTTTTACAAATCATCTTTATTAATTTCTGTTTGTGTCATTTGAAATCATTTAAAAATGTTCATTGGCACATTCACAACTGCAGGACTCAAAGTTTTTATGTAGCATATATTCTATTTTTACTAGAAAGGTTTATTTTTTGGGAGTGCAACATGTTCTGTTTGAAATATTGTTCCTGAGCATTTATGTCGATCATCGAACTTGTGTGCAGATGCTAGAAGAGTGACTGGAAGCAGGGGGGACATGATTATAATCATTCCATAAATATTATCACTATGCTCTTGTACCTTCCCCCCCTAGGAACTGACTGATCATGCCATGTGTACACCTCTTATGTATTAAATTAATATGTGCGGTGGCAAAGCTTAGCAGCATGGAACTCTGTGTGTGAAATATGGCTTCCATACCAGCTGCGGATCTGCATCACCGTCTTCCTTGCTTGGCGATTGGAAGGTCCTGACATGAATCCTTGTAGCCCTACTATAACCAGCACATTTTGCCATAGAACTTCAGGTTGCAATATTTAAACTTGTATTTATTTACAATTTTGTATTGTCAGAGTTGTAGTGACATGTCCTTATGATTACTGTAGTTATGCACAAGTATGTGAGTGATTTGTTGTGATAATATATACAGTTATGTAGATGTTACATAGGATTTTTGTACAAGGACCCTGAACATCTACCTTCCTTACAACATAGCCACATGATGTTTCCATTCAAATGCAATATTCCTAACTAGTTTAAGTAATCCTTTACTATTTAAAGTTCCTCTGCAGAACTAGAGACCAAGCTTGTAAAGGTGAGATTTCATGTTCTCATGGCAGTGAATTTGAAGATGAATGTCTTCTGGGATATTGCACCGGAAATTGATTGACGTTTCAAAGGTGCTTACTACCTTCATCATCAGGGTACTGCCATGTTGATGGAGGCAGTAAGCCCCTCTGAAATGTCAGTCAATTTCTACCAGACGACATAGCACAATATCCCAGAAGACATTATTTTCAGATGATGGTGATGGAAAATAAGTGATTCCTATGTTAGAATGAATTGTATGAGCTCGGGTTTTTTGCGAGAGTAGGGGGGAGGGGATAAGTTGGGTGGGTGGTTGGTTAACGTTGTTACCGTCTAAGCCAGAGCAGTTGATAGTGGCTTCACTACCGATGCCGATAGATGGCTGGGTCACTAGTAGTATATTAGAACAAGTTCTGTTTATTATAAATTTTTATGAAAAAACATTTATAGATTTTTTTTTGCATTTTAATATATTACAGTTTGTTTAATGCATTGTAAAATAATTCGTGAAAATGTTGTTGTTGACACTTCCATTCCCTTGCGATTAAGGTATTAATATTGCCTATGATTTGAGCGAGGGAAGGCCAGGATGTGACAGTTTGAGTATATTTGATCGCGTATAAGAGAATTATATAAATTGCGTTATTGTATATATTACTGTTATTTGTTTGCACGTTTTGAGTATGTTAAAGTTTCGATTAGGATGCATTTCACATTGTGAAGTGAGATTGACTTCGTAAGGTAGGTCTAACAAACTGCATTTTTCAGGAAGATCCTGCACCGTAGTCAGGTTAGTTAAGTGGGTATTCATTCCCAAACGATTCACATTTCAGTACCGAATGTTGATTGGAATGCACTTTGATTGGGTTAGTTTGGATTTTAACAGTTTTTAACGTATCTCATCTACGTTGCTACTGTTTAGTGTTTTATATCAGTCTAGGTATGATTCGGAAGACCACATTACAGTTATAGCTCATGAAGAAAGATTAAACAATACTCACACTCTGTTTAAATCCCCTAAATAATGTAACAAATGTTGCTGGATGCCTAGCTTCACAAAGAACACATTGTGTTTTGTGTTCATTTTTCTGGTTTATAAAGTGCTGTAAGGTTTCACTGTCAACTACAAATACTGACATATGCAATTTAGAAGATATGTTGACAAATGCCCCAACATCCTTCAGAAAATGTATATGGTACTGATTGTATGGATACAGGAGTAACACAAGAAGGCTTAATTGAGCCGTAAGGAGAATTAACCCTCCTACAAGGCAGAGATGGACAGCAGATTTCTTTTTCATTGTTTTCACCAGAGCTTTGCATCAGACATCCACCTGAAATAATCAAAGTAAAACAGGGTGAAGTTTTTTTGGAGAAAATGTAATTATGGTGCACAGACCTACTACCTGACATAACTACATCAAACCTAGAAGATGGCTGTCTTCCGGGTTTTGGCGCAGTGTAGTCTGGTAGTTTACCAACGTTTCAGAGGTCCTTGCTGCCTCCATCATCAGGGCAATAATGACCCTGATGATGGAGGCAGCAAGGACCTCTGAAACGTTGGTAAACTACCAGACTACACTGCGCCAAAACCCGGAAGACAGCCATCTTCTAGGTTTGATGTAGTTATGTCAGGTAGTAGGTCTGTGCACCATAATTACATTTTCTCCAAAAAAACTTCACCCTGTTTTACTTTGATTATTTCAGGTGGATGTCTGATGCAAAGCTCTGGTGAAAACAATGAAAAAGAAATCTGCTGTCCATCTCTGCCTTGTAGGAGGGTTAATTCTCCTTACGGCTCAATTAAGCCTTCTTGTGTTACTCCTGTATCCATACAATCAGTACCATATACATTTTCTGAAGGATGTTGGGGCATTTGTCAACATATCTTCTAAATTGCATATGTCAGTATTTGTAGTTGACAGTGAAACCTTACAGCACTTTATAAACCAGAAAAATGAACACAAAACACAATGTGTTCTTTGTGAAGCTAGGCATCCAGCAACATTTGTTACATTATTTAGGGGATTTAAACAGAGTGTGAGTATTGTTTAATCTTTCTTCATGAGCTATAACTGTAATGTGGTCTTCCTGTTCCATTTGTATGTCATGCATCACCATGATCCATCAGTTAAGAAATATTTCTCTGTAGAATAGTCCCAGGTAAATAACCATGAAAAAATGGTTGTTGTACAATGTTACCTTTTTTTCCAGGTTGAGTTTATGTCTGTGTTACAAGAAGCTGGATTCCATGTTGTTGTCTTACAAAATACAAATCCACCAGAAGTACCATCTGGTATTTCTATAAATGTACCAATCTGTTACTTGCTCAAGAGAAATATTGTGATACATCTTGTACTATTTCATGAGAGGGAGGGAAATTACTGGTGGCATGGTAACCTCCTGAGTGACCCAAGAGCAATATCTGAACTCTCAAGTTTTGGCTTGTCACTGCACAGTGCACAAATGATGAAGACTGAAGGAGCCTTTGACAAGTTTGAAACAGAATTGGTTCATATGGATCATATTCCTGTTCTAATACCAAAGGACATTTCTCGTTTCTTACGTGATACCAGAAGTTCAAGGTACATTGAATGCAATCACATATTGGCAGATTTATTTTACCGATCTCATGGTAAAGATACAACACATGAAGCTTTGAGGTTTGTCCACAGAGCATGGAAACTGCTGTCAAAAGCCAAGACGCTATTGGACAAACTTGGAGTCCGATTTTGGCTAAGCAGTGGCACATGTCTAGGTAAGTGTACTTTCCATGAAAATATACTCCTACATTTTTTGCATTCAATGATATCTCCCTCTCTATATCTTTGACATTTTGAAAGAAAGTCTTAGATTCAGGTAATATATCCCTTATCATGATAATACTTTGAGACTCTGTTCACCCCAGAGAATGTATTTTAAAAATAAAAGTCCTACATCTAATGTTGCTGGAGTTGCTTTCACATCTGAAGTTTGCTAGGTTGGTATCATTGATGCTTTGGCATTACTAATAACATTTATGTGATGTAATAAAGAATTGTATATTAGGGCTTCTTATATCTACATTCTCTTTTGGTATATTTGCTTTGAGGAATATTGCTTGTGGCCATGCCGTTCACTATTCTTTCAGGTTATTTCCGTCAGTGTGACATCATCCCATACAGTAAAGATGTAGACATAGGGATCTTCATAACAGACTACAGTGAAAAGATACTGCCAGAATTTTTAGATCATGGCTTTACATTGAAGCACTGGTTTGGGAGAGTGAATGACAGTCTGGAGTTGTCCTTGTCCAGTGGAGAACTTAAGCTGGACATATTTTTCTTCTATGAAGATGGACAGTTTTTGTGGAATGGAGGCACACAGGCAAAATCTGGGAGAAAGTTCAAGTGAGTACAGTGTAGCATGCTGTTGAGGGGAGGGGGGATGAAATATGGCTGCTATAGTGATTGCTAATAAATCATTTGTAAATTTCTTAAAATTAGGAATGACAGTAATGAATATAAATGAGTTCCTTGATGAAAAAATGAGGCATAATTTCAAGAAATTATTTTAAAAAACTAAAGGCTGAGATATATCAAAACAAGTGTTTTGTCCATTGTTTTCTGTGTAACGTGTTTTAATCCAATGAAAGACAATAGATTACCTACATCTCTACCTAAGGGACATGAACTAACAGAGATTGCATGCAGAACTAAGAGTTGCATGAGTTCTGCAGTTGCTAGGAATATTTGAATGTGGTAGGTTATGAAAAGGATATGAGGAAATTTGTTTGATATTTAGAAACCTGTTACTTGAAGGATTAAGACAGAAATGAAAGAACATTGTTAAAAAAATTATTGTGGAGAAATGTATTATAGTGGATTGGATTGAACTGGTTCAGAATAATATGACAACATCTATGCTAGTAGTGTTGTCTTTAAAGTCTGTAGTTTCAGAGTCTACATTTTTTATAAGGCAAACATTTGTCACATTGTTTGTTAGGTTGTATTGTTTTTGATGTGATATTTGTCAACTACTGAAGAACCAGTTGTCTTTTTTAAGCCCTGCTGTTTTATGACAATGATGCATATATCTTGTGTTGACTTACACACTGTTAATGTAAACCTAATGTGATGGCAGTTACATTGTTCTGTTAAATGTAGGTGTATACAGTGACAGAATTACTTTCAGGTTCTCAGGTTTTGTTTTTACTTTATTCTGAGCAGGTATCTGAAAATTCATGAATTTTTCAGGTATGTGTTTCCACGTTTCACTCTCTGCTGGACAGAGTTTCTGGAGCTGAAAGTGAGGGTGCCTTGTGAGACACAGGCTTACATCGAGGCCAACTATGGATCTGATTGGTTCACTCCAGTAACACGTTGGGACTGGAAAAGTAGTCCATCAAATGTGAGAGAGAATGGGGAGTGGCCAGCAGAGGATTGGGCTGAAGTAATGCGAGTATACAATTGATTCTGGTAATTATTCCTGAACTTTACGCTTATTTGTTTGGTTGCTCTCAACCATTCAAGTAATTTAAATGCCTATTCATATTTATTAGCTTAATCTTTATAATTATATAACATGGGATGTTGGAATGCCAGTTCAGTTCTCTATCAGTTCAAAAATACATTTTTTTAAAATGAGTTATTTAGTTAGCATAAATATTTTAGCTAATTAAGTTAAACAAAAGCTTGCTGTAAGTGTTCAGATAGAAGCCCAGGGCCCTCTATTTTCAATCTTTCTATTAGTTTTCAGCCAGTATTTAGGTCCAGGAAGAAGAATTATTTATGCCCTTATGTAAACTAGGCATTATAAAGAACCTGTCTCTACCAAAACTAAATTTCTGTGACAGTTTTTAGAGGCATTCCGTACCAAATTAGAATTTATCAAGTAGTTCAAAAGATGAAATGTGGATGACTAGACAGATTGACACATTTCCTCATAAGACATTTGTTGCACTTTTTATGTGCTTATGGATTGTCTAGCAATTTTAAATGCTGAGATAATTGATATGCATCATATGTTGAATGGATCAGTAGAAAGTTTAAAAGAATGTATGAATCGTCATTAAAATGATTCCATTTGCACAAATTTGGTTGTCATATCACTGTGGAAAATTTTTAATTGCTGTGTTGTAAATTTTATTCAGTCAAGTGCCACCTTATATATCTGGCCATTGTTTCTTGTTATATTAAGGGACATTGAATGTGATTTCATTGTTAATTATTTACATACTGAACTGAGAAAGAAGTTGTTGACATCATACATCATTGGTGTTTCATATAAAAAACTATTTCACTGGAGGTAATCTGTATTTCATTGGTAAATAAAGTGTTGTACTTATGAAAATTCCATGACATCCTCACTGTCTGCTGGACATTTCCACCAAGATGTGTTCTTATGACAAAGTCCCCTCCATTCTTCTATGGCCTCTTGTACCTGTATCCACTCTTTTTCTTCTTTTTGTATGTATTCCTTTACTTGGCATCTCCACCATGTCCTTTGTTCACCATTTTCAGGTTTCAAGCAATTAGAGGAATACTGTTGTTCATGTACAACAAGTTTGTACAACTTTTTCCTCAATTTTGCCAGTTTTTTCTTGTAGTGTTTTCACCTTCACATCTTGCCTAATATCCTTTTGAATGTTTACGTCCGGGAAGCTTAACATCTTTTTTGTGCCACATCCTTGCAGTCCTATTTTGATGTTTTTGTGCACTTGTTTCCTATTATCCATTCTGTATCCTCAGCCCATCACCTTATCTTTAATCAGACACATCTCACAAGTTCTGTGTTGTACTCCTTATAGTTACTCATCTTTGGGATAAATATTTTCTCTATCACTTCTCAGTGCTTCCCAGTTTGCTCCATCTTTTCCCAGCTATTGAGAATACATCACTGTCAGCTCATATGAAGACTTCTGAGGTAGGTGTTGGAGAAAATAGTACTCTACCCACTTATTTCCATCTTTCATGCAGTTAAGATTTGTGTATGTGTTTGATGTTTTATTGTCTTATTTTTGGGTATTTAGTATATTTTTTCACTGGATTTACAATATGAAAAACCTTATAATAAGAATACTTGCCATATCTATCCCTAGTATTATTTTTTTGTGATTACTATTATTGAAAAACAAACTTCTCTAATTTTGTTTATTTTAAAATTGTGAATAAAGTAGTCCCTGTGCCCAAGTACTGTGGTATCACGCATACAGGGGATGTTGAGACAAGATGGCTGTTTTCTAGGTTGTTGTGCTGTGTAGTCTGTAGAGATTTACAGATGCTTGAGAGGTGATTGCTGCCTCCATCATCAGGGCGATGAAGTTTACCAATGTTTCAGAGATGCTTGCCTCTGAAATGCTGATAGTCTTCTACCAGATTACATGGTGTAACAATTCAGAAGATGGGGATCTTCATACTTGCCACCACGAGAATCTGATGTCTTATGATGAGACAGTTCCTTTTATTTTAAGGCTTTTTATCTCTTAGTGGTTAATAGATCACTGTACCTGCAGAAACAGTGAACATGGTTGTGAAATGTTGCAGTGCTGTTTTCTGTTGTTTCTTCTTGGTACAGGTCTATAACTGAAATATGCTAAATTGATATTTGATAGCAGCTTCAGCTATCATGAAAATGGCTCTCTTCTGGGATGTTGCACTGTAGATGTTTACTACCAGACTCGTACATTGTGTTACATCCCACAAGACAGTCATCTTACTTGTCACTATTGGAACCTCATATCTTGTCTTTTATTTACTGCAGTGCATTCCTATGAGTAGGAAACTATAAATCTTAAGTTTTGAGATATTAGTGGCATTTAGCTTGAAAGTCATATATAATGTTCTCTATAACAGTTTATTCAGACTTCCTTTTCCATGTACAAGCAAGACATTTTATACAGAAATTGGATATTTTAGTTAAGAATACTTGTGTTTTTGATATTAGTAAAAATGTAGACTCCTGCCATTTGTTTGTGACTTTTTGTCATTGAAATTTACAGACAAAAAGGCTTTGTTTTCTGAATTAAACAGCATACAGAAGGTTGACATAAAATACTGCTGGATCAGTAAGTTCTATGTACTGTATTTAGTAAGCTTAAAATTTGAGGTCACAATTATATTCTCTTGTATAAGTTTATTACAGTTTTTGTGTCACAAACCCTAGAAGTGGCAGAAAACATAATTCCAAATACACATCTGATGAACACTTGACAGTCAAACTTTGGAACAATTGTAAGTGAGTGAAATGACTGAGTGCAGGCTGGATGGATGGAGTTCAGCTTCTGGCAGAGGCAGGGATCTTTCTCTTTGTTGTCATGTCCACCATCATTGGGGCTCTTGGAGCTGCCTGGGTCTAAATTAACAAGAATGTGAAGCTGAACAATCATTTTGAGGGCTAGATGTGTGAGGCTTGGTTATAGGGATGCCACAAACTGCTGCTACAGACATTCAGAAACTTCTTTTTTGGAACTAAGAATGCCTTACTGAACTTCCAAGAATTTGAGGGTTGTTCTTTCAGAGTAGCTGTCAGAAAATCATCAGCTGCCACTTCGAGGGTAAACTGGTTAATTTGAAGTAATCAGTCTGTTAAGTAGGTACTTGATTGATAGTCCCATTAATGATGGAATGAATTATGTCCTTGAAAGAATTATGAGTTTCATGTTATGTCATAGACCTTTTTGTTTGCTGTGATCAAAGATTAAGAATATCACGTACTGGAATCCCATTAATTTTTACAGACTATAAAATGTGCACCTGAAAGCAAATCAGGTAACTAAATTTATTACATTTGGGTAGGGGTAGCATTATCCCTCCTATCAGTTTTATGAATGTTGACATGGGAGTTCACTCTGTGCTGTAGATTTGAAACAGTGTCTGTTCACTTGTGTTGGGAATGTGACATTTACATTTTGTATTCAAAATTTTCACCAAAAACAAGTAAAAATTAGTTGCTTTGAATTATATCTGGCAGCCACTTATTAACTTCATAAAACATTGTAGTTTAATTTTTACTAGATTGTTAAATATAATTTGTAAATTGCCTATCAGAACCCAGTTTGGTATCTGAATCTCTTTAGTGACAACATACCTGATTTGCGTAGTAATTTCCCTGTTTATATAACCTTTAATTATGAGGTACACCAATAAAATAAGGCTTTCTTGTTGTTTTTTAGTCTTTATCCTCTTCTACCCGCAGGTGTCAAGGTACTCAATTTATTCATTTAATCTTATTAGACATTTGGTAGGACACCTTGAACAAGGCCTCTACCTATACAGGACAGCCCAATACGGAAAGATGCAAACATCCATGCCTTGAGTGTGATTTGAACCCAGTGTCCAAGCGCACGAGGTCTATGCCTCAGACCGTGTGGCCACTGCAACTGGCTTGCTTGTTTATAAGTTATGTAAATGGAAATTAAGATTAATTGGTTGGTGGCCTTTAAACTTCACTGGTAGCTGCCATTGTGTTCTGAAACATTTTTTTTTTATTAACTGTGAATTTTGTACACAGTAATAGCATGTTTGATCTGAAGCTTTTACAGTGACCAAGTATAATGAATTCTTCTCAGGCTGTGTAAGGTGGTAGCTCAGGAAGAATTTATTATGCAGTAATAGCATGTCCATATAATGTGTTTGAAAGTTACATTTCTACCATTTGTTTTGTGGACAGATGTAATTTATTGTACAGTCCATTAAAACATGTTAAGAATCAATACAGTGAGGTGTGCAGTATAGGAAATATTTCAGATGTAAAATTATTAACAATGGAATGACAAAATTTTGTTTAAAATTACGAGTAAATTAATTAACTCTTGTCAGATAGATTAACCTCATATTTTAACCTTGTTATTTCATAAAGTTATAGTTGTTACTTGATGTTATGGTGTATAACTTTGCAACTGGTGTAACTATGTGAAAGGCATCATGTTAGTTCTGTCTCTATGACATAGCAAGAGAACATTAAATGTTCAACCATTATGGCCATGAGGAACAAATTAAATAGCATTTTCAGGTGTACAGGTGGGGGGAGGGATGTGAATAAATTAATTTTATTTGTGTGTTTGGTGCCCATGTAGTGTGGAATATGTTAACTGATCATGTTGGGCTCCACTGTAGTAAACTGCTGTCAGAGAAATGTTGCTGCATTTGTGCATCCACTTCTTTGCATTCCCTCAGCACTGCATTAGAGGGCAGATTCGTTATTTTGATCCTGGTATGTTACTTGCTTTGGAGCTTCATACAGGTGGTCATGATTTGGCCTGTGGTGAATAATATTTATTAATAACAGAGTTTTAGAAAACAAACTGTAAAAAATTGGCCACTTTAAACTCTCTTTCTCACTGACAAACACACTCAAAGATTACAAGTGGAAGCAGATTAAAGAAAATGATTTAAGTGGGGTACCAATACCAGTGCACATAGTTAAATCCTGACCCATAATGAAAAGAGATCTTAGGTCTTAATCCTGGTATGTGAAATGAGAAGAAACCAGTTTCTCAGTGTAGTGTATAATCAGATATAAGTGAAGTTTTGTTGCAACTGAACAGACTGAATTGCATTCACAATCTTCTCCTTGATAAAACACTGATATTTTTTTTATGAAACCATTTTCACAATAATAACCAAAGATAACACATGTAAGCTACTGTTCTCATTTTAACCAGTAAAGGCTACAATGTTACAAGTGGGACAAGTTGGTCTCCTTTTATGTAAAGGAGACTGAATGTGCATGTGTGATGTATAAGGCAGATAATCCTCATATTTCCTTAATAAACAGTTGCTGAATCAGAAAGAAAGTCTGAAACAAAGAACATTCTTACTTGTCAACCTATAATATGATATTAACTGAAGAATTGGAACAACATTATTAAACAGGCATTTAATATACAACTGATAAATGTATCTTTACCAGGAATAACTGTGTATTGTTTTAAATATAAATCATACGATAACTTAACAAAAATATTCAAATAGCTCTTTGTTACGTTGGGCCTAAGAAGCTGTTTAGGTGCTGAAGGCTGTACAGAACAGAAAAGTTTTCCCTAGTCAGATTCTGCTTTGTTTCATACTGTATTCTGATTAAGTAGATTGGAGTGGTAAACTTATCTGTCTGAAGGCAGGCCATGCGATATGGCTGTAAATTACAGGGATGTGGATACTGTGTTGTGCAGCAGTTGTGACGCAACGCAGCAGAAAATGATTTTAGGTACCTTCATATATTTATTCAGTCACTAAGAGAGAAGTTATATTCTTTTTCTTCTGGTTCTAGGCAAGGTTCCATGTATAGGTGAAGCATGGCACAACTTACCTTGTGTTATTCATTGTATTGGCTCCTAACATTGACTCATCATCAGAACTGAAATCGTCAGTGTTCGTATTCTTCTGGTGATGCTGCTCACTGGAGACGTCAAATGAAGGATTATCATAGCCAATGTTGGAGACACGATTTTGGAAGTAGAAGGCTGCACCAACTGTTGGAAGGTAGAAACAGTCATACCCCTGTTTTTTGGCAAGTAGTCAGAGTATAACATATTCAGTACTGACAACAAACATTTGCTTTTTTAATTTAATAATCATTGGTGCGTGTCACAACCTTACAGAATTTACTTTGTCTGTTTATGGACTTTGATATTAATGAGCAATTCAGTTAACAAAATACATATTTCTTGGGCTGCAGGACAGTATTTTTTTTCCTCAAAATGGTGATAATTCTTCTGTAAAGTAAGGACTGACATTAAATTTGTTATTAGGGAATATATTCTCAAATTTTCAGGGCAACCCCAAATTTGTGTGTAGTGTTTTGAGAATGGGATGCTAATATTAAAATGGATCTTAGGGAGATGAAGTGTGAAGATATGAAATCCTATATTGAAACTGCAGTTTCTGTTAACAGAGTCTGTTTGTTCATCATGGAGCATCGAATAAAGTTTCTTAAATAGTCAGTTATTCCCAAATTTTAAATGTTGAATGATACATGGAAATGGTACAACATTTAGGGTTATTTAAATCCATTTTTCTGCACATAACCTTCCTAACAGCTCACTAAAAATTCACAAATTACGCAGAAATAAGTACTGATACTGGTCTGCAGCATTGTTTACTACGTAGTCTGCAGGCAGTTGCTATTCTACAAATTCAAAGTTGTGTTATATCTTTATATTGTATACACCTTACTGCACCTGGAGAAAACACTTGTCAGTTGTAAAGGGGGTGCTTAACAAGTAGTAAAAGATTGCCAGTATGAATGTTTTGGAGGAACATATCAGCGTCATTTTCATTTTAAATGTTTCACTGAAATATTGGTAACAATCAACACGTATACACAGCATCATAACCCAGCAGACCACAATCCAAATTTTCACTGCATGAAAATCTTAGAAAGCAGCAAATGAGCCTGTTGCAAGATAGAAAATAATTCTTATTCAAAAGTATGTTGCATTCATTTCTGTTAAAGCATGATAATGAATATGGGATATCTCTGACAGTTTCATAATCTTTAATGAATGACTGTAAACCTTTTATGTGGGTAATTATAAGTCTCTTCAATTTTAATACAACAAAGATGTTACAATCTGTATTGTAACTAAATACATGTAGCTTTTCTCTCATTAATAATGTTTTTTTACGAATTTGTGCATCAGGAGAGGGCAGGAGTGAGTATTTTATGGGACATTATTATCTCAGAATTTTTGTGTTGACTGATACTTGGTCAAAGATTGTTTCAGTCCTTTACAAAATTTCTAATTTCCTGCAGTAAAGTATGCAGAGCTTTCTGATGTTACCAGTATTGCAGATGGTTAATTAATGATGGTAAGTACAATTAGGATTTGAGGTTTTCATGGCAATAAGTCTGAAGATCATCACCATGATGATGGAGGCAGCAAGGACCTCTGAAACGTTGGTAAACTTTTACCAGACTACTCAGTGCAGCAACCCAGAATATAACCATCTTGAAGTACATTTAGACCTCTATATAGTGAATGAAGCTCAGGGAAGGTAAACAAGTGCTATGTTGCAGAGGCACTTGGCATGCTGTAACTTTACTTTTATTCCTCTGTGTGAGCTCTTCATTGTTACTTACACTCATCCAATGACTTTGTTCTTTCATCATGGGACGTATTTAATGTCTTTGGTGAAGTTATGTTGTCCTCATTTGCTCTTGTTTTATTATAGGTATCATCGTAGAGGAGGTCTGTCATTGGTGGAACCTCTTGGTATGAGTTTGATATCCAGGAGTCAGTACTTGCAGTGCTTACCCTTCCAAATGGTGGTGCAGTTCCTTTCCTGGAACATCAGATAGACAGGAGGTACCTAGTTGCACTGTTCTTAACCTAGTTGAATGCCTGTTGTCCCTCCAGGCGAATGCTGGTATAGTACTTTCAGGAAAGCCACAACTGCCTCCTTCCAAATTATCTACTCATTCATGACATTTGATGTTATATGAGTATTATCTCTGGAGTTGAAACACCATCATTAAATAAGCTAAGAATCAATCAGTCTGTCAATCAGCAGTGACATATGGATGGAAGCAGGCAGTTTCTCTTTCCAGAACCCACAATGAAGGTTATATGCCCATGCTGACAGCACCAGAAAATGAAATGCCATGGGCAAGAACTTTGTAACTTAATGACTAGGAAACCAGAATTTGTGGTCTGTCAGATAAATGGGTTTGAATTATCTAAATCTCATTGTGGTGTAAAGAGCTGAGATTACTCATTTGGTGAGGTAACTAGCTGTGAGGTAGATCACCAGAGTTCAATTCCTGGTATTTCTGTTTCCTGCTACTGTGTTCAGACCAGCTCTGCAGCCCACCCAACATCCTAACCAATGTGTACATTGGGGTCTTTCCTAGAGTATGAAACTGATCACTCACCTCCATTGTGTTCAGGAATGTCTGGATCTTTAACTCCATGATCTTTATGTGTCTTTCTGGTGTGGTGCTACTATTTATGCTGATTAAAAGTCCAGATATAAACAGGATAATAGCACAGCAAAGGGGAGAGTAATGGGGTGCAACCAGATCTGTTTGTGCTGTTTAGTTTATTTAATAATGCTTTATCAAATGAATTTGTTATATAGTGTGAAATGATAGAATGATTGAAAATTATGAATTTGTAAGAATATGGAAAGAAACTGCTGTGATCTATTTTATGGTACTGTAACAGCATTTGCTTGGACAGACTGAAAGAAACAAACATAAAAAAGCCTCAGGATGTCTGATGTGTGGGTCAGAAGTCAAATCTGGAATCTCTCAAATGTGAAGCAGGATGCTTACCAGTCAGTTCCAACATTCAATGCACTTGGGTACATATGCGACCAGTCTTTAAGTGGAATTATAATTCTGGACTAACCACTCAGACTTAGTGATGACTTTTAGTATGTGTTAATTTAAGTCTTAACTATACATACTGAAAAGTTTTCCCAAGGGGGTATGGCTCTGATTTTGAATTGCCCAATATTAAGTTATCAGTCATTATATCTGTGCTGCTATCTGTTGGTAATGTGAATCACCCAGTAATCTGGTATAAACTGCTATTTTAGTTTGTGAAACTTGGACCTGAAAACTTTACAGTAAAGAAAATATCATGGGCTTGAAATAGATCACAGTCTGTCCCTCCATATGTTTTTGTAATAATTGTCTGACTTACATTGTCCATAAACAGTGTATGAAAAGCATTGTATATCAGAGTATAGAGATTAGCACTCCTGTGTTGCATTAGTGGTTTCTCAGTTAAAATTTTGGCCAAGAGGACATATATTTTGACTCAGTATGGTTTATAATTTTCCTGAGTTCTCCATTCAGGTACTGAAGTAATTGCATAAAATATGCCACTACCTCTTATTTATATATCATTTGTGGCTTATCATTGATAAACATCCCGTAATTCTGTGTTGTATAGTGTATGCAGTTAATATGTAATTAAAAAGTGTGTGAAGCAGAACTATAGGATGCACTGTGGATCTCTTTACTTCTGCTTCAGGTTGTGTTGCTTGAGTGGTCTTACTTGTTACTGGTATTGAAGAGGTCAAGGCGCCACACGACAATCATGAGTAGTGTGAATATAGCTACCACACCCAGTGAGATGTACAGCCAGAGGTGCAGCATCTCTTCATTGTCTGGCACCTGGTATACCTGCATAAAACAGGTGAGTCACATCTTTCCTACTGCATGCTGTAAGTGTTATGTTGTATCTCCTCATTTAATCATCTCCATGTTACACATGATATACTTCACATAGAATTTGTGTTTGGGAAATGTGTGAATGAAATGTGTCCTGCTCTCAATCAGTGGTTAAAGTTAAGTGTGATTTTTCCACTTTACAGTCTATACGATAAAAGTGAGTAAAGTAAAGCTGTCCCACTATATGCCATGTAGGCACCAGGGGGAGAGGTGGTATAGCTCCTACTCATTCTTAATCTCGGCACTAGACGGGAATGAGCAGTCATCCCCTGCCTCTCTTTACCCCTGGGAAGGACCCTGGTACCCATTGGATAGGAGGCTGAGTGGGCCCTAGAGCCAGTCTGGATGCAGAGGCTAGAGGAAAAATCCTCTGCCCCCATCGGGGATTGAACCCCTGGTTGTTCAGTCCATAGCCAGTCACTATACTGACTGAGCTACCCCGGCTCACACATACTATACTGTGGCATGGGGAAATACTAACGAAATAATTTTTAAAAATAAAAATCAGCATGAATAGGGTTAATTTTAAATTTATTAGGCACTTATTAGACTGTGGCTCTGAAATAGTGACCATGTGGGGAACTGATGATGGAAGAATAATATCAGCTGAAGTATTTTTATGAGACAGCAGATTGCACTCTTTTTACCATAAAACAAGTATGAAAATAGTCAGAGAATGGTCTGTTTCACCAGTAATGGATTAGAGCCATGATTATCATAATTTGGCTTACAGTAATCACTGTCAGGACCATTGGTAATTTTACTTGTTTACCTACATATTTTATAGCTATAATATTTACTTTGAGCTTATCATGCATCTCCTACTATGTTGGTTTGATAACGTTATTAATTTTCAGACATTTTAAAAAGGACTTGTGTTTCTCTTTCATGTCTGTCATAGCAGTCTTAGACCTTACCTTCAGATTAATTTTCTCCAGACCTTTTTTTGCATACTTATTCCACATTTCTTCAAGACTTGTTCTGTCTAGTTGATAATCACTTCCGAGCACATGGAGTGGTATGGTGAGGTTTACTTTTATGCAGGTTTCCCAGTTAGGCCATGTTCTTGGACACTCAGTAATCAATTGGAGTCTCACATCACTTGACCTGAAAAGTTCACAGAGAGTGACTTTGAATATTTTTATCTGATCACAGAAAAAATTCCCACACATATAGAGGCAAAGTGCACTTGAATTTCTACAAACCCACTTATTAAACCATAGGATGAATTTCTCTGCACTCTCATTGTAAATGTCAGTGTCTTATTCTTTCAGGCATCACTTCACTGCTATTTTTGCATTGTCATCAGTTTTAAATCTGTTATTTCTCAGATGTTGTTGTGTTGCTATAAGCATATGAAGCGATATCTAAGAGGCCAAATCAGTATGGAAATCAGCAGTGAAATAATGGTTGAAATGACAGAACAATGACTTGTAGGAACGCAGTATTAAGAAAAATTCATTCCCTGTTTTCTTTTTTTTAAATTATTGTGTACTGCTTGTACTGTAAAGTTTTTGTGTGTAGCTTACGTTGCGTTCTTTTGAAGTTGAATATTCTTGCTTTCACTGCAGTAGTCATTGGCCATCTCGGCAACAACTTCCTTAAATGAACCTCTTTTCTTGTAAAACTGCAACAAACCAGTATGATGCAAGTTAGATGCAATTGTTTGTTAATTCATTTAACCCCTTTCATCATTATATTGAGCTGAACCTGTGGGTGTGAAAAAGACTGCAGTGTTTACCATGACTGGCTGTTCAGTCTGTTCTAAGAGTGCTTCAGAAAAGTCCATGGCTGCTTCATCCCTCCAGACAGGTCAGCTGCTGTATCTACCTTGTGTTCTGGACATCCCTGGTTTGAATCCTTCTTCTTTACTAACTGAGTTTCTTCATAGCATTCCTCAGTCCTTCCAAGCAAATGTCATGAAGGTATCACAAAAGAGGCCACCACTGCTTCATTTGACATTAAATTCTGCACTTCCATTCACTAGCCTCTAGACCAGTGATATTCAACCTGGGGTACGTGTACCCCCGGGGGTACGCGAAGACATCTTTGGGGTTACGTGAAATTTAAAAATATATATATATTATTTTATGATAAATACCGAATAATCAGTAATGTAATTTATTTTAGATGTAGATTATATACTATGTATAATTTGAATTATACACCAACAACTTTGGGGATACAAAGTTGAAGAGAAATTATATCTGGGGGTACGCGAACAAAAAAGGTTGAATACCACTGCTCTAGACCACTATCGCCAGTCCGTCATATATGCTTCTTGACTCTGTTTATAATCTTCCTGTAATTTTTCATTCTCCAGTGTGTGACCTCTGCAGTTGCTATAGGATTCTTAATTAAACAAAAAATAAGAAACAGAAACTCACCTGAGGGGGGGTTATGCCACTCACATATACACTTATGTCGTCATCAACATCTGAAGGGGCAGGTGGTGGTGTGGGTCTTGATGTTGTGGTGGATGGCTCTGTTGTCAATTCTCCTACGAAATATCATGAGATACAACAGGAAGTTATTTGGAAAATGTATGATGTGTACTTTACTTCATGTACTTTAATCTTTTAAGTGAGGCTAGGAATTAATAATGATTCAATTTGCTAGTCCATATTTGTGTATACTTTTGCCAGTGTATAGATTTGGAATACATTGTATTTGTCATATACAACGTCAGAATTTGCACTAATTTCTTGTGCAGAATGTACAGGCATTTTTATGGTCTTTCCCCATACAGGATCACATGTGCCAGTCTCCAGTGGTTGATTAGTTATTAGCATCAAACTTGAAGCTAAGTATGGATTTTGTGTCACTATCACATTGTTGTTTTACATTCTTCAAAATGAATGCCTCAACGAAAGTTGCGTATTTTTCAACAGCCTATTGCCACACACAGTTTCAAGGCAATCCATTAAGAGACACTAGTGAGTCTCCATCTTCAGAAGAGGAGGCTGTGAGGTTGCCATGTTGGTATTACTGATAGTAGGAATTTAAGAGTAGGAAGAGTTGTCTTTTGTGACTTGATGTTACTGCCATGTTTCATTAGAAACTGTCATTTGATTGGAAAGTTTCTGGGGAATGAGGCATGCAGATACCTGCGTTAATATCATGCTATACAGCATAAAAACACCAGGTTCTGAACCTTGTACATTTTACAGATCTGTGTATATCTATGTGCTAGAACTATTGGAATTTGACTGTGGATATATGAATGAGCATAGATATTATATTTGCAATAGTTTGGGAAAAGAAAGGTACTAAGGATAATATTGGGCCCACTAGAGTCAAAGTAACAGAAGTAGAGTAATTTTGTAATGAGGAGCTTTCATGTTTGTGTTGTACACCTGATAAAATTAGGGTGGGTAAATTCAGTAGTGATAGAAGTACAGAACAGTTAAAAGCAAATTGATACAAATTTTGTTTTGAAAAACTCCAGGGATGTTACAGAATTCTTTTGTGATGGTGTGAACTGGCTCAGTGTATGGTTCATTGGTGTGCTTTTGTGATTACCTGTCAGGGTCTAAATAAATTTCTTGATCAACTGAGCAACTTTAAGCTCCTCAAGGAAGAGCCTATACCATGGAGTTAGTCTCCCATCATTTTAAAACTAAGAATTTAAGATGTGCACTTGAGGGTACTTTGGATATTTTCACTAACCAAAAGCTTCATAGGAGAGCTGAAATCCATTGTTCTTCCTGGTTCCATTGGTGATCTTGTTTTGTGTGACCAGTAGTACAGACATTTCATTATGATCCATCACTCGAATCTTTTTTGTGGTTTGGATGATACCAGTTAGGACAACACTGGCTTCATCTTGCACCAGTGAGGGTCCTGCCCACAGGACATCAACATTATTTTCAGCGCCGCATAGGATACCGTAGTAGTTTAAAATTCTAAACAACCACTCATTGTTTTGGAAAGTAACTCTTTGTTTGATAAGTAGCAACCATATACATTTGAATGACTGGAGATTCATGTTTGCATCTATGATGGTTATATAATTATATAATGTTTGATCATAGTGCAGAGACATTCTCATGCTCATGCCAGCAATGACAAAGGTAAAACTTTGTGACTGTCAGGAATATCAAACTCTTCACTGTGGTTTTGGAGCCCACCATCAAGTTCTCAATCACCTTTTCTTTATGTTATCCTGTCATTGCAGTAGTCAACCCGCCCTAACCAAAGACCAAATAGACCACAGCTGTAGGCATTAATGATGATGAGTCAATTTGATCAATACATTTCATTTTAGTAAAAGTTAGGAAGTGAGCATCACCTGTTTTCATGAATAGTACTGAACCATTACAAGTAACCAAATTTAAAATTTATCATTTGTTTCAGTCTTGGGATGTGTTTTGTTTTGCATACCTCGAATAGACTGATTTCTTAAATGTATTTTTACAAGTCCACTTACTAGTGTTAACCAGTTCACATTTAATACACTTTAAAGAATTAAATAAGTGTATTATTCATTGTTAGTTCAGTATCCTTTTCATTGTAGAACATTTACATCAGAATATTGTTTAGAAGCAAATGCCACCACAGCAAAGTGTTGCTCGAGAACCACTGTGTTATATATGCAAGTTCACCAGCATCTATCTTTTTTCTGTAACAACTCATCATTTACCTGGGCTGATGATTAAATAGTTCCCAGCAACTTCATCTAAATCTAAATAGTTGACAGTCACGTCCATGTTGTAACCCACAACATCTGCATGCCACTTGTATATATTGCATTCATCGTCAGGAGGGATGAGGTCCATGTTGAAGTCTATGGTACCATCAACTGTTACTTCTTGCTCACAAGCCTTGTCTTCAGTCACATGAGCTATTTATAGGAAGATAAACATAGTATGCTTTATGTGCACCCACAATCATATAAAAACGTTTTGTTAGATCACATGCGTTAGAGCTGAATTTTTAACATTGGGAATTTTCTTCAATAAAAATAGGTTCATTATTAAAAGATTTGTGGTATCATATGTTCATTGATAAAATTGAAAACATGAGAATTCTTATCATCAATTATAAGCATACTAAAGCAATCACTGCACTCATGCACAGGTACATAGTAAGAACAATAACAAATTAGGAAGAGGCAGTGTCAAAGCTATCAAAACTTCTTTTATGAAAAAGTGTGTTCATTATGACATGCATCTTCAGTGTGTCTGCTGGGTTGTTGCATGTCATTATTCAGTTATTTTATTTCTGTCTTCTGTGTGGGCTATGTAGTGTGGAGTGATGCATATTAGGATGAGGCAGAACATGGTTGTGATATATTTTAAGGTACTATCTCAGTTCTAAGAGATACTGAGGAAAACCACAGAATTTGATCAGTAGGGACGTTGAAAGTAGGGATTGCATTTTTCCCATAATGTTCTGCATTAAGCATTTTCCTCAGATCTGAAGCATTGTCAATTAGGACAGACAGTCCCCTGTGAGGGTTTGAATAGCACATGTGGATTATAATGTGTTCAGAACAACAGCCATTCCCATGGTATTACAGACATAGTGTTGCTGTTATATAAACATACTTATTATGGGTGCATCACAGGAAGTCGGTGGAGACGGATAGGCAGGGTGGAGGAACTTAATGATACACTGTGTCCCAAAAACATCAGTCCACATACCTATGCTATAGGGGAATGAAATCAAACATGAATGATTCTACATCTTTGGTATCAGTACCACTGTCACTATCACCATCACTGTAGTCAGTGTCGCCCAAGTTAATAATAACATCCTCCATAATTGTGTCCTTTTCCCGATAGGAATTTTCGGTGTTCATATCATAGCTATAATAACAGGCCCAGTCTTCTTTTTTCACTCCTTTGATCCCTTCTTGCACAAGTTCTTGCAGTCTTGTTAATGACATACCTCCAGCTATATTATTTGATCTTCTTTCTTAGTCCTTTATTTGATGCTGGGCTACCTTGGTGGGATTCAGGTTGCACATGTAAGTTGGCCTTACCAGCCTTTCCAGACTTAAGGCCACACTCACCTGGTCTTATAAACTTGTGATTTGTTGAATTATGAATTAGGACAGTTTATAGATACTTCATTATAATGCAGTAAAAGTGCTAGGCAAACAACCTCACATATTAATCAGCTATTTTCCTTAACAGATTTGCTTATTTGTTATTTTTATTAACTGGAACATGCAAGTATTAAACCTTGTAATTATTTATCATGTAGGGTGATGCAATATTACAAAAATGTATATATGCTGTCCAAAACATTGGTGGATGCCGACAGAACTGCAGGACTATTCTATTCTGAATTTCATATGTGTAGGGTAAGGGGTGATGTTCCCTGGAATTAGATTTAACCGATATGAGACCATAATATTCTGTCATGGTTACTAGAATTTTACTTTTGCAAATGGCGCTATTGACGTCAAAATTATCAGGGAGTCAGTGTTCGTAAACTCACGTAGGTCTTAAAAAAATACCCATTACTGTCTGATCTGAACCAGAATTATAATGTATCGTCAAATTTTAGTCAAATACAACATTATCAGATTTTGTGAAAATCCGCTCAGCTGTTCTCTATTACGCTCAGACAAACCAGACAAATATGGCGAAGCGAGGCGTCGTTTTATTTTTTTGCGAATTCGCCTATGAAGACACCAATACGGGTGACCTACAACTTTAACACCAGATTTTGTCCGTCATAGTCGGTAATATTGATTGATTTTCGTGTGAATCCTGTTACGGGCAAACTCTACCTGCGGGAAGGAAAAAACTGACGACGCACTTGTGTGAAATTGTAAATTTCACTTACCGCAGCAGAAGTAGCTGGACGCGGATGCAAATCCCAATAAGATGCAAATAAGTTTCATTTATGATGTTTCATCTACCGAATGTAACGTGTTCTGACAGCATCTATCAAAAGTAGGAAACTGCTGTTGGATAAGATACCGTAGTGATAAGCTGTGTCACGTCACAATACCACTAAATCTAGCTATTTCGTCACTGATTCACCTGTAATTAATTTCTGACGCGCCTGGCTTGTATTTACAATTTGCACAATTTGGGAAACTGAGGGAGAAACTTGTCAGTGTGCTTTAGATGTAATCCCCATAATATTGATTCTTTTAAAATTTGAGACTGTGACAATATGCAAGTTTTCAGAAAATCTCCACCTGATCATCTCCAATTAAATATTACCAAACAAATTAAGGCTATCGTTACTGATTTCTGACAAGTGTTAACTTAACGCATGTGTAGATGAGCTATCACTAGTGAATTCATTTTGTAAAATAAATGTTTGATTATACATATTGTTAGTGTATTCGGGAATTATCATGTGTGAATTTATCCCCTCGTAATATTAATTTTATAAATTACCAGTGGACAGTTCGGATTGTATTTTAATTAAAACGTGGCAGTAATGCTGAATGGTTTGAAGTTGTGGCATGGGGTATTTGTGCGACATGAGATTTCCAACACAGCTCAGACATAACTTGACCTATGGAAGTTGGCACATTGATATGCGTCAATCTCTCCATGCAGTCATGCTGTGTTGCTTGATACTAATATTTTCGTATATGTAGGATCGTATACTTTCATGTAATCAGCAATTTATGCATTCATTTCATATTCGACAAAATTTGTTCCAAAGGTGACAATGGATAGATCATGAAATTTGAGAGGGCAAAATTCAGATAAGGCACCTCTGCAATTTTAGCTCTAAAAAGCTAATAGCCAACGAAGCCCAAGAAGGTGTTTTCTGGCCCCCCACATTCCGAACATTCTATAATTGGGAGTATCGTAATTACTTTAGCAGCACCATGTCTATGGAAATTATACACTGCGCAAACGCACCGAATTCAAGGTCGCTGATGCGTGAACGTGCCTTGGCAATCTTGCTTCGGCCATTTTAGAAAGGCTGTTCGTTGAGGAAGATGAATTGGAAGATCTTTGTTGGAATTACTTGGTGCTTTCCATATTACAAATGTGCAGTTTGTAGATATAAACTCGGTAAAAGTTAATTTTCAATAGATGTGATGAGTATTATTGTCGAAAATTGCTGTATATTAAGACTGTTCAAATGTCACGTTTTAGAACGGGAGTTGTCTTTGAATAATCTTATTCGGCGGTTTTCATTACATTGATGTTACTTGAAAATGACATAATTGGACAAATAGTAGAATCCGATCGTCCCAAAAAATTGTAATCTAATGGTACCGGTACTGTCTATAATTTCACACCACGTTTTCAAGGCGTGACCGATTCAGTTTCGTTAGTATCAACATTTTGATGGGCTCATCAGTACTCTGATCAGAAAAAGCACCACAATATTTCCTTTCCATTTATTACAGAAAATTTCCTAAATAGACTTAGCATGGTTAATCATAGAACTGCTGTACAAAAAGGGGCCAGGGAAAATGAATTTATATATTTGTTAACTTTGTTTGGACAAAGTTACACAACAGACCAACAGATTGCTCGTTTTGAGATATTAACAGTGAAGCAAATCTGTCCCTTAATTGGCCAAATTTATAGAATGAAGGTATAATGTTTGGGGGCAATACTGAGTGTGGTAATTACTGAGGAATCTCTCTACTATCAACCTCATACAAATATTTTGGAACAACAATAACAAATGAAAATTATATTCAAGAGGAAATTAGGAGGAGACTAAATTCTGGAGATGCTTGCTACTTTTCAGTTCAAAATATTTTGGCTTCCTGTCTGATTTCTAAGAACCTAAACAGTAAAATATACAAAACGATAATTTTGCCTGTTTTATATGGGTGCAAAACATGGTCTCTCACTCTGAGGGAGGAACATAAATTACAGGTGTTTGAGAACAGGGTGTTGAGGATATTTGGGCCAAGGAGAGAACAGGATGGGGTATGGAGAAAACTGCGTAATGATGAAGTTAAGAATTTGTATCCCTCCCACAATATTGTCAGGGTGATTAATGAGATTTGGTGGGGCATGTGGCATGCATGGATGGGCAAGAGGTGTGCACCAGGTATTGGTCGGGAAGCCTGAAGGGAAGGGACTGCTGGGGAGACCTAGATGTAGATGGTAGGATGATATCAAGTTGGATGTATGGGAGATAGGAGTTGAAGGTGACTGGGTTTTGTTTGGCCTAGGACAGGGACCGGTAGAGGGCTATGATTGATTCGGTGATGAACCTTCGGGTTCCGTAAGTTATCCAGAGAGTTACTTTGGTTGGTTGCATATGTTTTGTCATAGGTAAGTCAGCTGGTATGGGACTGCTAATGATGTGAAGATCTTGTTTGCAAGTTTGAATTGTGATGTTAAAATGTTTTTAATGCCTGTTGTATTTGTGCAAATAGGCTTACTCATTACAATTGTGCACTTGCATTATTTAATTATAAATATTTCAAAGCTTCCATGTGGAGCTGATATGAAGAGTAATTTGAAATGGATACTGAAATATGCAGATTCTGATTTTCAAAAAAAATGTTTGTCGGTTGTGAAACATTCCGGTAACTGTTGGTGAGCAAAAAGTACTTGTCAGTATTATTGTTCATGTTATCACTTATTTATGGTGCATTGGTGAGGCTAGAAGTGTGAGGGGAAACATGTGTTTCTTTTGTTTTTCCTTGATGTATTATTTGCCATTGTGATTGAAAGATGCCCAATATCTTTGAGATTCAAACAAGAGATCTCATTCCTCTTGACATGGACTTGGCATTAGATACAGTTCCACCTAAGCCATGAGATACATGGTCTCTTACCTTGAAGGAAGAACATAAATTACAAGTGTTTGAAAACTATTTGCTCAGGAAGATATTTGGACCTAGGAAGGATGAAATAAGTGGAGAATTTGGAATATTGTGTAAAGAGCCGCACGAATTGTACATTTAGGATAGTGAAATCTAGGAGGCTCCAGTGGACTGTACATGTAGCACTCGTGGGGATGGCAAGGGATGCATACAGAATTATGGTAGGGAATCCTGAAAAACTACCCTGGGCAGACCGAGAAGGAAATGGGAGGATAACATGAAGATAGATCTAAGGAAGGTGGGCTGTGAGGATGTTACATGGATGGAGTTGGCTCAGGATCATGACTGGTGGTGGGCTTTGGTGTTGTTAAAGTTGGACCTGTGTGTTCTGCTGTTAGGGGATTAGTTATACATATTCATTTTATTCCTTTTCTTACAGTTATTACTGCTAATACCCTCATTCATATTCCTGTTATATAATTATTGGTACTGTTCTTATTGTAATGTTTTTGTACTGTTAAGACCGATGTTTTACACTGAGGGACATGGGAGGTGTGCACGTGCACATCACTTTCCTTCTGGGTTGCCTGTGTAACACGTATTTACTTAACTCTTAGGTAGGCCGCACACCGGCATGCATCAAGACACGATGTCTGCGACATGACGCAAAGAAAGGAGCACAGTTGAAACGAATGAGATTATGAAAACCGCCACACACCGGTCTGAGTCATGATGCTGACATCAGCTTCATGCTGCAGACATGTGAAGCAGGACTCGGCATGTTCCTTTTCTGTGCGTCAAGACTGAGACATCAGTACTCTAGGAACAGCACCAGTGTACGTTATCGACATGAGTGAAGAGCAAATAAATATTAAAATAGTGCAGACGGTTGAGAAATTCCCGGTAATATACGATTATTCGTCCCCGGGCCACTCAAACAAGGAGGAGGTTGATAAAGCTTGGCATGTAGTTTCAAAAGGAGTAAACAGATGGTAAGTGCACTGATTAATTTTATTTTAATGAGCTAATGACTGAATTAACTATTATACAC